CTTTTTAAATTCATTAATATTATTAGTTACAAATGAGTTGTTTCAAATGACTAGACAAAGCTGTATCTAGATAGTGTGTTAGGTTTTTAATCAAATATATATTTGATATTTTGCCCATTTCCATTGTAAGTAAAGCACTGTTTAATATGCATAACTCAACAAATTGTGGAGGGTTTATTTTAGGATAAATTTGGTGATGGACTGTTCAGAGTGCCCATTGGCTGACATGCCTACATTTTATTCTGGTGACATTGCCAATCTCAAAATCACTTTAGTGAGAAGAGGGATTTGATTGTAGCTGTAGACAAGAATAATGTAAAAAAGTTTCTTTGCGGTACTATTTTGGACTCGCACCGGAGTGGATGCCGAGGTAATCTATCAGTTTGTGAGTGTCTACAAAATGCAACTCTCCTGATAACAGGTTTAAAGTAAAGATTTAATACAGTCTCCATCTCCTGTGATGTTGCAGTGACAGTTTAAAACTCATTCTCTAAATCTCAGCAGACTTTATAGCTAGCTGTGGGCCAATATAAAGTTTAATAGCATTACAACACATAAATCATCTTTTAAAAGATGCTACTAGTAGCTCCAATATTAAATGCAGACAATCGCCTGTGGTATAAATAATTTATCAAACACCATTTCAGATTAGCCTTCCATGCTGAGTTATTTATTTTAGGCTTTTCTGTACGATTCCTAAGGCACTTTTTGAAAGATCCATTACTGGTCAGTTTAATGAACTTGGGAGTGTGTTTTGTCCCCTCAAGCACTCGGGTACAGCTGTGGTGACCATTACGTGGCCGACGTGGACCTCTTTGTGCCTTTTACAAGTGCTGCCCATTTGTCATGTAGCAGTAAATGGAGCTGCACATTGGAGTCCAGGGACACATCGTGTGATGCAGTGATGGAGACAAACAGATAGCTCTATAAAGTGCTGCTTGTCACAGCTGACTTGTAGTACAGTACATCACTCTTATTGTAATCTCATTTAAGAAGCAGGGCTGGCTCGAGGGACTGATATTCCCAGTTAGTTTGGTCTTTGTAGCCATAAAGCAGAAGTGTTCCTTTTATATTCTCTGAACTTTTAGGGAGTGTGCTTTGCTTGGATTAATTATTCCAGGAACTTCTCCATGGCAGTAGGTGCAGGTTTGTCAGCAGGCTTGTTTGGTTCCTTCTCCTCACTTGAGGTTTGATACAAGGAGTTGCTCCTTAGAGGTAATTTATGTTTTTAGGAGCCCTCTGGCTTTATTAAATAAGTTACTAGTTATTAAGCATCTGCTGTATGCCAGACACTAGATGTTTTGTGTACTTGATTTTTAATTTTTGCAGCAGTCCCGAAAACAGGATTTTAAACAAATTTTCCTACAGAGGAGGAAAATGAGCTTAGAGAGGCGAATTGACTTGCCTTACAGCAGTAAGAAGGAGACTGAGGATACAAATCCCATTTGCCTGGTTCCACATCTGCTAGATGACCTTGATCTGGGTTTCTGCATTGGACCTCATGGTGGTCTTTTGGTTGAATGTCTAAAGTAAAAGGAAGCTGCTCTTGTCCTGGAGGGCCATTTTTGTAGTAGCAGGATGTGTTCTTCCATCCAGCACACTGTATCTTGAGTCCCTTTGGGGCAGGCAGTGTGTATCTACGAGCAGCTGACTAGGGGAGGATGCTGACCCAGCAGGGGTAAGCATCACAACCTGAGCCTGTGCTGCTCAGGACTGAGGGTACTCTGTATCTTCCAGAAAAGGGTGGGTCAGTTTCCTAGGATGTGTTCAGTGTTTCCTGAATTTATTATGGGCCAGAGAAATAAAAATGTGTTTTCTTCACTTCTTGCCTTTAATTTGTGGTTTTACTTGATAGTTTTCTTAAATATTTGGTAGCACGTGTTAATGACAAAAGTTGTTTAATTGCTAAATTTCATTATAAGGAAAACAACATGAATAGTGGTATGTTTGCCTATGTGTCTAGAATTCTGTTTATGGAATACTATACTCTAAGACAACATTCAACAAGCAGTTTCTGGAATATAATAAGTCTGGAAATATTTACTGAAGATATTAACTATGTAAATAATGAGTGAACATGGTCATTTCCAATCTCCTTGTGCTTTGAGGGGTTTTGGTGGTGAATGGAAGAGCATGTGAAAAAAGACCTTTCATGTTAATACTGAACTGACACTCCATTGTGGAAATGTTACTTCAGCCTGGTTGAGAGTAGTTGAAGGCCCTTAGAATGGTAGGCTGGGTGTTTTGGGAAACACAGTGCTCCCTATTCTGTAATGGAAATGACTGCCAGAAGAGTTGCTGGTTGACCTAAAGAGAAATTGGCAACCATCATCCTTTTAAACTTCCCCATGTGCCAAAGCTTTGTGATAGGGAGTGTCACAGCCCCTAATCAGTGCACTATTGTCCCTGACTAGTGAAGAGCCTCAGTCCAAGGAAAATTAATTATGAACTGGCTCTGCAGTCCAATGGACCTGTTTTACTGTTTCCTGTTTATTAGCTGTGTGACCCTGGGCAAGTCATTGGCTCCTTCTCATCAATAGTTTATAGTTGGGGTTAGGAGTAAACAGAATAATGATTGTCAAAGTGCCTAACTCAGTAACTCAGTATTTGGCTTGTTATAGTAGGTGCTTAGTGAATGTAAGGTTAATTCCATCTCGTAACATCTTCAGTCTTATGTATAGGGTTGGGGGGGAGCAGAATGAATGGTAGAAGATATTGTAAGATTTTCTTCCCTAAGGAATTGTCTTCCCTAGAATTAGTGGAGAATAATGTTTTTCTAAATATTAAAAGCCTTTGCACTTAACGCACATATAGTTTTATAAATAAACTGTACACAATACATTTCACCGTTTGCACTTTCTTAAAGTTTTATTGGTTATCGACTTCCATTACAGAATATTTGCAGAAAAGGAAGACTTGCTGCACTGTCAGCATTGTCAGCAGTCTGATTTCTATGTGCACAAATTGGTTGACATCAGATGCGCATGTCTAGTATCATATGTTTCAGGATCCTCTAGATCTCCCTCTCCCTCAAAATAAAACCATTTGGTATAATTAAGATCTGCAGTCCTAAGTGCTACCTGCAGGATTTGAGATGTTCATGAGGTACTGTTGGCAGACTCAAGGCACCAGCAGCAATGATGAGAAAAGACAAAGAAAATGGCTCAGTGGTAGAAAAGAGAAGGAGCCCAGGAGTAGGGGAGTAAGCAGGGTACTTCCATCGTGCATGTGTGCGTGTGTGCATCTAAGGGTGCTTAATAGGTGAAGCAAGTTGGAATGAGGTTGATTTTGTTAAGTGGGTGGTTGGGTTTGATTGTGTGTGGAGCAGCAGCAGTAGCAATCTCCTTAGCTAAGGAGTTATCTTTGCTACCACTTTTACTTATATAACTTTTGAGGGACTGTTGAGAATCCCAAGAGAAGAGGTCTTGATTAGAGAATCCTGCTGGAGTGAATTCTTACAAGGCTGTGCATGTACTACAGAGTAACTGGCTTCTTTGACCTCATGAAGGTGCTGCTCAGGAAGTGAAAAAAACTGGTAGATAAAGATTAAAACCCCAAGGCCTCCTGTTCTTAGGCTGAATGCCCTACTTCCTTCAGATCCTTCTTTATCCTGCTGAGTCTGTAGAGGGCACTCTGTCACTGGTATCCCACGTTGGCTTGGGCAAGCAGAAAAGCAGGAGTCCTTCAGGGTTCAGCTCTCACAACTTAAAGCTAGCAAATCCTGCTCTTCAAGGTTCTCAGGCCAGATTTGGGGCAGGGAGCCTGTTTTTCTGGAAGGCTGTTACTGGGATGAACTGTTTTGTTCAGCCAGCCTGTGTCTGGGCCCTCGTGCCCTGGCAGATAGGGATGTGGCTGCAGCATAAGCTAGATTCCCTTCTTTAAGAAGTTGGCGCATTTGTGTCCTTGTTGCATAAAGGGCTTGAATTCCGTGATCACCAGGTCCTGCCCTGTTGCTTGCCAGTGCACTGCTGTTTTCTGAGTGGCACAGCCTGGACCATAGCACTCCTTGAAGCTTTGCTGAGCTTATTGGTATTACCATAGTTCCTATTCAGCCTTTAGCCCTCATCATGCCTTGTGAGTTTCTCAGGTCTGATTTCTATGCTGGACTTTGATGTCTCCAAAGAGTGGGGACTTTGGGCCCTCATCCACCTCTGTGGCCCTAGCTCCTAGCACAGAACTTGGCACATGATTGGCTTTCTCAACTAAGAAAACAATTAATCCATCTGTCCACTTATTCATCAGTCACCACTGGGAACTTAGACTTGCTGCTTCAAGGAAGAGTAAAAGAATGAGTAATTCAAAGGAAGGAGTCACTTCAGTGTTGTAGGCTTATTAGTGGGAGGAGATAAATTCTCTTGGGAAAGAGGACCTACCCTTGGCTCTGCCAACATTTTCCCATAACTGTGTTTTGACCTCATAATACTGACTTTATTGTGTTACTGAAAAGTAGGTTTCAGCCATTGTTAGATATTTTTGATCAACAAATTAATTAGTCCCTGAAAACACCTGTTTTTTGTTAATAAAGTTTTATTGGGACACAGCAATTGCCCTTTATTTATGCATTGTTTATGACTGTTTTGTGTCACCCGTGGTAGGTTGAGTAGTTGCAGAAAAGACTGAGTATGTTTACAAAACCTAAACTATTTACTGCCTGGCTCTTTACAAGAAGAGTTTACTGATGCTTGTTTTAGATGATAAATGTTATCAGCCCACAGTTCCCAGTTTTGTGGTGACTATTGACAGGAAGCAGTGTGATGAAGAGGGGGACATGCAGAAGGTTTGAAAGGCCCAGACCTCCACCTCAGAACTTCTGGGGCCTGACAAGTTTTTTTTAAAGCCATTGATGTTCTTTGAGATCTTTTCTTCAAAATAGGTGTTGAAAACACTGTATAGCCCCCAGAGATTTTGCACATCACCTGTGAAAGCACTTTTTGGGCTTCAGAGCCAACCCATAGCTTGATATGAACAGCATACATTATGTCTGCCTTTCCTTTTCTCAGGAGGAGGAAGCCAAAAAGCTAGTGAGCGAGGCCATTGCAGCTGGCATATTCAATGACTTGGGGTCTGGAAGTAACATTGATCTGTGTGTCATCAGCAAGAGCAAGCTGGACTTTCTGCGCCCATACTCAGTGCCCAACAAGAAGGGGACCAGGTAAGTGAAGGGGATGACACAGCTGTATGGCCACCCTTGATATCTCCATGGCATTTGGACTAGGCTTTCTGGATTCCTTCCCACATTGAAAGCCTTATTTCCACACCAGCCTTATACAACAGACCTTTGAGTCTGTGCGTGTTTGTGACCACAGGCTGCTGTGAGGTGTGGAGAAGTGATTTAATCTGTCAAGTCTTGGCAGGAGAGGTGGAGTGGGCCCAGAAAAGAGTTCTAGGCTGCGAGTTGGGGAGGAGAGTTGGTTTCAGCCATCTCTATCCATTCTCAAGTGTCATAGAATTCTCTGAATTGCGAATGGAATTCTGTGAGGTGTGGGTTTCAGGACAGTCAGCCTGCAGCTTTTTTTCAGGCTGATCCAAGGCATGTTAGAGGTTCTAAACTGGTGGCTAGGAGCCTGTGTGTGTTGGCCTTGGGATCTACTGGTGTTTGCCATGTAGAGGGAGTCTAGCCCATGGCATGTTCTGCTGCATAGGCACCTTGTATGTGGTGGCTGGAATGTGCACAGGTGAGCAGCTCATGGGCAGTTAGTTCCTCGTTCCTCCTGGGTATCCAGCTGCTCAACCACTGTGTGGCTACCGAGCTCCGCTTCTAGCACATTCACTTGAGTGAGGTGAATCATTGTCTGTGACCTCTGCCACTTCCTCTGAGCTCCCCAGTCAGGCCACTCCCCGCTGCAGAACTTCTGCTCCAGATTGAGGAGTGAGTCACAAGGAAGGACCGGCCTTTAGAAGCAGTGGAGCTTTGCTGCAGTCTGCCACACATGGTAGGGTGGGTGCCTGGGAAGGCTGATGATGGGTTTGGTAGCTTTGAACATTCAGCTCCCTGTGTTTGAAATGGAGCTAGGCTAGGTGATCTTCTGAGGAACCCATGAGGTTCCTGGGGCCTTGCATAGGAGGGGAAGCAGCCATTCAAGCATAGAACCCTGTTAAGAGAGCCAGCTTATCTGTGCTCCCTGAGCACAGGAACCTGACTGTGCTGCAGGCTACCATGTGAATGGAGCAGGTCCTTGGGGAAGAGGGACTACGAGAGGGGAGGGCTTCTACTCCATCCAGATGGAACAGTGTCCCGGGTGAGAATTCTCAAAGGCACATGAGCCTTTAAGAAGTAGTGTTTGTGCAAAAGGGAGAGGGTAGCAAACACAAGAGAACAGAAATGACACAACCTAGTGGGTTAGGGTATAGCTCAGAGGTACAACACCTGCCTAGCACATGTGAGGCCCTGGTTTCCATTCCCAGCACTGAAGAAAAAACAAAACAAAATACAGATCTTCTGGGCTAGCTGGGCAGTTTACACTGGTTATGAGGAGGCAGGGCGGGTAGGGACAGTAGCCTGCTCTCTGGGGGAAGTGCCCTGGGGCAGAGGACCTGCAACAGCAGTGTCCACACTTTGCAGTCTGTCACTTTCTTGGCCAGAGACTGATGGCATCACTACCTGGTTGCAATCTCCCCAGCGAACAGCAGGTTGTGGCAGAGGCCTGGGCAGGCATCTTGTGCCTCACGCCAGCATGGACCTTGCCTTATACATTCCCATTCCTGCAGTGAAGGGGTTCATTTCCACACCTCTCAGAGACATGGGGTGCCATTCAAATGAGTCAGGCACTGGGATGCTTGACTCTGAGGTTGCAGTGCTACCAGGGGCCCAGCATGGTGAGGACTGAGAGACATCAAACCTACAGGGGACACTGAAGGACAGTTTGAAAAGGCGCAGCTCCTCATGTCCCTTCAGAGAGTGTGGCACGGCGGGAAGTCTTTGCAGAAGGAAAGGCAAGCCTTCTTTCTGCCCTAGCTCCTGAAACTGACACGGAACTCTTCTAGATGCCCTTCTTTTTCTGTTTCCGGCTCTTTCTTGTAGTCCAAGTAGCATTTGAGAGCACATGTTTTCCAGAACATGCGTAGGGCACACCCAGCAGCCACATGCCAGGTTGACATAAGTACTGTTCCAGCTGGGGACAGAACAGAGGGAAGGTTGACTTGGTGGTACTATTTGACTGTGGCCTCAGGGTAAGAGTTAAGGTTAACATATGTATCTGATGGGCCGCCTTGTGCTCAGAGGAATGTGTTCAATGCCCTAAAGGAAGCAGGTATTTGTATGTCCTGGTGATCACCTGCTGTGTTCCTGCAGGGGATAGGTAACATTTTGTGTCTTGAGAGAGTAGTCTAAAGGGACAAGCCAGGAGGCTGACCATGCTGTTTGCACTGTTGATGTTTCTGGTGATTACAAAGAGTAGGAAGCAGCAGAAGAATGGTGTCTATATTTTAGTGGGAGGCTGCGGTTGGTGGGGTGGGAGGAGACTTGAGCACTGGATGCCATTTGTATTCTCTCTTATGTGCCTTATGTCTCTACCACGCATTCCATTTTACAGCATTTGGAAGCTGAAGAAAGGGATCCTTGGGAGAGTTGACCACCCACTATCCCCTGCCATAGGCCAGCTCTATAGAGCTGGAGTTGGGGGAGCCAGCTCTCCAGTCCAGCCTGCTCTGCCACTTGCCCAGAGCACTGTTCCTCTCTGCAGCTCTTGGACTGGCACCTATGGATAGTCTTAACCATACTTTTTTTCTCTCTCTAGGTTTGGCCGGTACAGGTGTGAGAAAGGGACCACTGCAGTCCTCACCGAAAAAGTCACCACCCTGGAGATTGAGGTGCTGGAGGAAACCGTCCAGACAATGGACACTTCCTGAACGGGGCTGGGGGTAACTGCTTATTGCTCTGAAGTGTGAGGGCATTCGAGCCCCCAAATGAAGCTCAATAAAAAAAATTTTAAAAATGAAAACCACAGTAGGTGGCTCAGGTCTAGGGACTGTGTGGTTTGGGGGCCACTAAGGACCATTGACCTGGCCTCCCTTTCAGGCTCTTAATGCCTCCCTTAACCAGTTGGGTGAGGGTCAGCATGTGGTTGTCCTGAAGCAAACCAGGCCTCCTCTGTGGCCAGAAGCCAGATTGGGTTATTTTGATTCTTCAAGTGAACATTTGTAAGCCAACCCATGTTCCTTACCAGCCTGCGGTCCCAGCAGTCAAGTAGGAAAGCCATGTCAAAGATGACCTTTGTGCCAGGTGCCCTTGTCTTGCACCTATAATCGTAGCTACTTGGGAAGCCAAGATCAGGAGGGGTTGCTGTTTGAGGCCAGCCTGGGTAAATAGTTTGAGAAACCCAACTCCAAAATAACCATATTAAAAGGGGACTAGAGGTGTGGCTCAAGTGGTAGGGTGCCTGAGTTCACACCCTAGCACTGAAAAAAAAAAAAAAAAAAAAAAAGCCTCCCCATTTGAGTTCTCAGGCACTGCTCAGCTCTAAGGACAGTTGGCTTTAAAATAGCTACATGGGACTGGTGAACTCTACTTTGGCCAGTTTCTAGAAATCAAAGGAATGTTTTTGGGTTTGTTCTTTTGTAGTAATGAGGACATGATCACTTATACACCTTCAGGCTGGTAAATGGTGGAAGCTGTATGGGAATCTGGTGGTGTGCAGAAAGCAAATTCATTGGTGTACCAAGACTGTGTCAAAGGCAGACAAGGATCTCTGAGAGCCAAAAACAGCTTTGACTGGGGTTAGCCCAGTCTGAGACCGGCTTCTCGTGAAAACTGCTGGAAGTAGGGAGAACGATGGAATTATTGAGGGCGGCAGGTTGGCTGATGATTATCAGAGTTATTTGGGGAGCTTAAAAAAAAACTCCAGGATTACTCAATTTCTGGAGCCTGACAAGTTTTTTCAGAGGCTCCTTAATAAATTGTGCTGCTGACATGTGTTAGGTTATGGATCCACCAGTTCAAGGGACAACATTCTGAAGCAGTGTTAAAACCATCCCCAACTTGCTCATCCCAGAAGCAGCTCCCCGCCACAACCTGTTTTATTTCAAATGTGGAGAACATGTGCAGAGCAGAGGCTGCATCTAGAGCCCAACAGCATCTCACAGGCTCAGCTTGGAGACAGTAGTGGCCAGATGGGGTTTTCCAGGGCAGCCTGGGTGGAGAGTTTGCCCAGCTAGCTAGATGATTGTCAGGAAGCATGTGACAAGACACCAGAGGTGCTGAGCTGTCACCAAGTCAGTGATGACACAGTAGAATGTTTGAGGATTAACTTGACTTAATCAAAACAAAATTCAAAGTACTTCCTCCAGAGCTTGAGTTTCCTTAAATTCACATTTATAAATTAGTCTTCACAGTTAATCCTATTTGGGAACAAGAAATAAGTGAACATATTTCTGCTTTCCTACACATCATATAGTTAGACTTTTAATTCTTGGCTTGTGTGGTCCATGGACTTAAGCTTTCAGAAGGGGTGACTGGTTGCCACTTTTGGATTACTTGCAATGTGCTAGCTAACTTGCGTCATTTATTTCAAATTCTGTCAGCAACCTGGAAGGTAAATACTATTAGTATTTTTACAGATGAGGAAACTAAGGCTCAGAAAGGCTAAGAAATATGCCCAAGGTCACACTAGGAAGTTTCAGAACCTGAATTTGTAAAGAATAGCCGTAAGGCAAAGCCCTTAGAATTTTCTTGTAGCACATGCTTCCTTCCATGGAGGAAAACCCATAACACTGATCATAAAATGAGCCCACATTTCAGAGTTCCTGGCACACCATGGGTTCCGGAGATGGTGAACCCGAATGCAAGCAGGACCCTCCTGACTTTCAGGTACCATTTGCCTCACGAAGCTCCATGCCCGATGCTGGGTTCTCCTTATTGTTCTCACTCAACAAGTTGTTATAAAACAAAGAGAAAATATTCCTGAAATCTCTACTCTACTTAAACAATTATTTCCACTTTATCCCTTTACAACAGAGTAAATTAAGCACACAGCTTGACTGGAAAGATACTAAGAACTAAACTGAACTTGCTGCTAATAGTTTGCAAAGGCTTACCACACCAATCACTGGCTCCTGCAAGTCTCCTGTCAGCGTGGACCTGGATAAGTCTTGGAAAGAATCACCCAAAGATTCACATTACAGTCCAGACACAAGGTGGGGCTTCAGCGGCTGCTGAATCACCCATCCTTATTAACAACCCAGCTGAGACTGTCCACAATAGTTCAAAGGACTTTGGAATTGACCATAGCCTTACTGCTCTGAATTCAGCTCAGTTGCAAAGGCAGGCTGCCCTGGAGAGCTTGCTGAAGCCTCCTGTCTCAAGCTGTCCAGGCTCCCAGGTGCCACTTTGGTGGGGAGAGGGGGAGGACTCAAGTAAGGCAAGATGGTGTTGGCTTTGTAAGGCATGGCGTATCCATGTTCAGGTGCTGGACATCCAGACGTGCATCTGTTTGGCGACCTGGTGTACATAACTGATGTCTGGTCTCTGGTCAGGGTCAGGGTAGATACACATACTGACCAGTTCTCGAAGCTGTGAAGGAGAGAGCGGTTCCTGTTATTCTTAAGAAAGAGCCTAGTGAGCACTTCTGTCAGCATCAGCACATTTAATTCTTAAAGCACCTTGAAGATGGTACTGTCATTCCCATTGGAGGTGAAGAATGTTTGTAAGGGTAACTGATGAGTACAATCACATAGCTCCCCAGCAATAGCCAGGACCATTCCTAGGCTTGTCTGGCGGCAAAGGCCACACTTTGAGATTCTGAGAATGGTTACCTCCAAGTAATTTTGAACTTTAAACTGTATGCTTTTGGGCAAATTTGTGTGAGAGTGCAGGTGTCTTGTTCACATGTGTGTCTTCTGTCAATCACGCAGAGGCCCAAACCAGAGGACAAAACTGAAGGGAAGGGCTTATTGATCATAATAAATGCATTAACATGCAGCAGGGCTGCAGTCTGTTCACCCCCTGGCCTCCTCATTGTGCTCATGAAAGACGGTGCTTTTAATTATACAGACACTGAAGGCTTTGCCCGCCTGGGGTGGGGGAGGGGTACTTGAGCCTCTGATCACCTCGCGTTCTGATAGCCCGGTGCCAATTATTTTAATGGTAATTAAAATAATGACCTTAAGAAGCCTGTGTCTTAACTTGTCTGGCTAGGCTCACTGCAATGTTTTCCATTTAAATACCTGCTGCTGGAGGCGCTGGTGGGCCTGTAGGTCCTGAGCAATAGCAGGGATGGGAAACCTGCATAGGAGAGGGCCCCAGTGGGCTCAGTAGCCAGTCTGGGGAAGGCAAGAGGGACATCCTGGGGGCCCAGCCTGGTTTCCTGCACATGAGAGGCAGCTGCACAGGGCTTACTCTTAATTTGTCTTGAGTGTCTCCTCATCTTTGCCTGACCTTGTTGGGATTTCACTGCTTTGTAAACACTGGGGAGCCCCTGAACAGATGACTGGAGTGAGCAGTACGCTTGTACACCCCTGGGGTAGCCATGGATGAGACTGTACTTTCCTGAAGTGTATACTTCTTGGGGAGGTAGCTATAGCAGGTGAATAATAACCCAAAAACTCCAGATGAAGGTGAAGTCTGTGGTCATACAGTTAGCTGGGTGATACAACTTCTAAAAAATGGGGTGTGCTGAGGGCCTCTGGTGCTAAGCAGCACTGTCCTGGAGCTGATGACAACAGGAGTATTGAGTGGAGGAGACAGAATGTCTGACACCAGAGAGAAGGGTGAGACTGGGGCATTCATTTCAGCTTCGTAAGTGAGACAGGGATGACGGTGCCCATTTGTGGCCTGGCACAGAGGCACAGAGGAGGTGTCATTTGTATGGAAAGGAACAAGCAAATGCACTGTGAACTTTGTCAAGAAATGTAACTTTTCCCTTAATTGCCAACCTGCCCTCTAGAGCATAAATACTTCCTCTGAAGATGCTCATGAGAACTTTGCAAGCCACTGGGGCAGAAACCTTGAGAGGAGGATGCTACACAACTCCCTGGACCTGTGCGTCTGTTCTTTCCAACTTGGGGTGGCACAGCCAGCAGCCTCAGTGTGCAGGCTGAGGGCCAGGAACAGTGGGAGCTTGGAGCATATGTGGTACACATAACCTACCTCAGTGTACAAGATGCTCCTTGCAAAGCCTTAGCCCCACTGGCCAGTGGGCCCTGTACAAACAGGTTGGCACTGCAGGTAGGTGCAAGATCGTCTGGGGTCAGATTGTACCCCGCTATATGCAAACTAGGTCACCTCAGGCAAGTTCTTCAGTCCCTGTGGGTGTTTCCTCAGTGCTAAGACAGAGAGGAGTCATTCCCCATGGCAAGTATAAATGCCAGTGGTTATTACTGTGAGGCAGTGGCCTAAGGTAATACATGAGAGAGATGTATTTGAGCCCTGTCTACACAGTGGTGGATCTGAGGAAAATGGCATTCACACACAGCCAGTGATTGGCACAGTCCAGTGCCAGGCCTGTCAGAGTCTGTGTCTAAAGCCTCTGCACTGGTATAAAATGTAAAAACAAAACAAAATAAAAAAAACCCTAAGATGTGACTTAGGCCTTTTACAATAAGCAGGCCACCATCCAGCCTGTGTACTGTGGTTCCCTGTCATGGGAGCAGAGAGGCAGCCATGGTGGTCTGGGGGCCCGTGGCTCTGCTACTTCCTGCTCTGTGGCTGGTTCCTGGGACCTAGCCTTGGGACTCGGGGTGGTGAGCCTCAAACCTGAAAGAGAGTTGGGAGCCAAGCAGCAATGTGCCTGTGTTGCACTCGCCTGCCCCAGCCCTCACTGTGTGCTTGGGAACTGCCCGCTGTGGAGCTGTGTTGGCATCCGGGGTGCCAGGCCAGGCCTCCGGCTTCAACTCACCTTCTCAGAGTAGTGCTCTCCTGGGAGAGGCGGGTAGTCGCACTGCTCTATCTTCTGGCAGAGGGAGAAGAGGTTCATTTTATCTCCATAGAAGGGGCTTTGTAGAGCGGCCATCTACGAGGGGAGGGGGACAACAGATGAGGTCAGCCTGGAAGCCCAGAGGAATCTCTCTGGGTTGGGGTAGGGGCTTTCTGCAGTCCTCACTGCAACAACTGTCCATCAGGAAGTTGGAATTGCATGAACAGTTGGGGTCCAGGGTTTCCGTAAGGAAGGGGCAGCTGAATCCTAAGGACACAGCCTCCACCTCACTTGAGCCTCAGCTCCCTAGGACTGACTGGTCAGGAACGTGTAGTGGGTGCTACAGGCACTGTGTTAGGCTCTGTGCCTATGAGGCACCATCTTGTTTATCTAAAAAGCAATTCCTAAGGCCCTTCAGGGAGGGTGCTGCCTAAGACACTCCTTTAGGGAACTTCACCTACCTAAGGAGGAATGTTGGGGATTTAGGGTGCAGTGTGGCCGCCCTTGCCTGCCCACTGTAGAGCTGCTGTCTGGAAGATGGACGCCCAGTTGTTGGGGGCTGGAGGCTCTATTTCAGGGAAGCTCCAGGGTGGGAGGGAAGTGCCTGCTCTACAGTCAGCCTTATGTGCAGGCTGCCAGGTCCCTGCTCTGCACTTGTTTTGTGTGTCTGGCTTTTAGTCTCACCTGTAAAAGGTGGAGGCCTCAACCTGCAGGGTGTGGTGAGGCTGGCACATGGAGGGGTTATGGCTGGCCAGCTGAGCTGCAAGCTCCTGCACCCTCTGATGAGGCCCTGAAGGGAGTCTGGCTGCTGGGGAAGAGCAGAGTGACAGTGGATTCTCTCACCCAGTCAGGGGACTGCCAGGCCTCCCAGATGCCCGGCTCCACCACTGAGGGCACTCATGGAGGTCTTCAGAAGGGCTACGGCAGGAGCCATGGGTGGCTCCAAAAGCAACGGTGGTAGCCCAGCATGGCACCCGCCAGCCCCATCTGCTGATTAATCTGTAATGGGATTCACGTGCTTCCTGTCATTCCTGCTCACTCCCGCCTACCACCAAACAACAGCCCAGTGCCTCCTACTAATGAGGTGCCATCAGGTAATTGTGCCCGTCTGTACATTTGGCTCCGACTCCCTTCCCAGGAGCCAGGCTGTCAGGGCCTCTGCCCTGGCTTGCTGGCCGAGGGCTCCTAAGCCCCTGCATTGGTAAGCCTTGCATTGGCACACCTAAGGGATCCTCATTCTACCCCATGCCCATAGGGTGGGCCAAAGAGCCCTACCTTAGGGCAGGTGGAGCCTTTTTGGTTAGCTTCCTGGTCCACATCCATCCCACCTCTGTTCACGTCTGGGAATGAGTGGTCCAGTGCCAAGCCCAGAAGGCCCCAGGGAGGGGCTGCCTTAGGTCGGCAGTTAGCCTCCAGGGAGGCAAGCAGCATTTCCTGGGACCCAAGTCCAGCAATCTGCCCTGGGCAGCACCTGTGGGCCCAGGTGCCAGGACACAGTACAGCACCTCAAGGAGGGTGTGTAGGGTAACTGCTCTCTTCTGTTGACAGGGCTCGGGCTCCTCTGTGGAGCACTGTGTGTGTCTGGACCTTAAATCCTGCCCTGGCAGGAAGACTTCCACTCAGTGGGGGAGTAGCTAAGGCCTTATCCACTCCAGGGGCTGCCAACCTAACCTGGAGCTGGCTTTACCATGGAGTCTGCACAATGGTGTGACCAGGGTTAATTGGGCCATTTCAAAATGACATCTTTTGCCCTAGCAGATAGCAGTTGAGGCTCCAGGGTGGTCACCTGAAGTGACCTGGTGGCCTTCTGTTCAGGATAGACAGTGTTGAAGGGTGGCCCCTGGTTTGGTTGCCTTTCAGCAGGCCAGTCTGATCTGATTTTCTTAAACCTGGCTGCTTGGGACTCCAAAGAGGCCTCAGAAAACTGAGGGGGCCATGAGACCTCATATCTTTCCTCTCCTTCAGACCTTCTTTCTATTCTCTCTGGCACTTGACCCACATCATTTTAGAATACCTTTCAGCACAGGCTTCTCATCCCCAACTGCAGGTTCCGGCTGCCGGCTGTGGGCCTTCTACCCAGATCAGGGCAGCAACTGTGAAGGAACCTCGGGGGCTGCTGATGGCACTGGGATTAGAACAATCACTTGAGACTGTGAGAGCTCCTCGCACTGGCCCAGCCTCTAAACGTTGCTGTTTGTGCTGATGCTGGTTACCTTGTTAGAACTGCCAGAGCCACGACTGTCAGTGCTGTGCCTCACATACAAAACTTTTCCTCCCTGGGGTGACTGGGGTGACACATAGCCAAGGAAAAGAGGGCAGGTGGGCACCTGCTCTGCCAGGAGGGCTCAGAAAGACTGGTATGGAATTGGAGATGTCAGCGGGAGAAGGGGGATCCGACTTCAGCCAGGACAGCAACTGCATCTGCTTCCCACCTGTCAGGGCCCCATTGTCACCCTGCATCTTCCAAGCATCTCGACTCAGAGGCAACGGGCCATACAGCCTGCAGCCCTGTTCCCTGAGGGGGGGGCTCCCAGGCCATTCCACTGCTCAAGCCAGAATTCCAGAACAGCTCTTGTACCAGGCACAACCGGCCTCCCCCTGCCCCATCTCTTGCTGGTCTCTGTCCTAATGGGTCCCTGCTGAGGGGCCTGGCACCAGGTGAGCCAATTCCTTCAGCCTTATGTTCAGAGCTGAGCTCTTGTGTCAGTAAATAAATTCTCAGCCCAGGTGGCCTGCTGGGTTGCCTCCACAGGGCATGCTGGGTAATGAAAATAAAGCACTGTGCTTCCAGTATGGCCATGCCTGGCCTCTGCCAGCTGAGAGGGACCACTGTGCCCACCAGCCCTGCTAAGGACCCTCCTTGCAGCCTGGCCCCAGGGTGGTCAAGGGCATGTTTCTCCCAAGGCTGTCCTCTTCAAGGCAGACTCTGTTCTCTCACCTCTCTGGGGGCTGGGGGCGGGGGAGGGGGTGGACTGGTGGTTCCTCACTAGCTCTGGATCAACAGGTGACCTGAGGAGGCGCTTGGCAGTAGGCATCTGGATGCCCAGGTTTTGAACGGGGACAAGGTGTGCTCAACAGTGGCCCCCAAAGACATCCACAGCCTAATCTTTGGGCCCAGTGAACGTCACCTCACATGGCAGGTGGGGCTTCACAGTTGTGATTAGATTTAGGATCCTTGGATGGGGAGATCACCCTGGACTGTGCAGGTAGTCCCCACGTAACCACAAACACCCCAACAGAGGGAGAGGGAGGCTGAGGAGATGTGCTGGTAGAAGCAAGAGACTGGAGTCATGGAGTGCCTGTTCAGTTTTCCCTGGAAAAGGCAAAACAACAGATCTGCCCCAGAGCCTCAGGAAGGACCCAGTCCTGCCGACGCCTTGACTTCAGTTCCAGGCCCCTTCAGACCTGCAAGAGAATCAATTCACATGGCTGGAAGTCACGAGCACTGTGGGCCTCTGTTAGAGCCGCTGGGGGTTTGAGACTTCCGATCCATGCTTGGGTTCAGGTGTGGTGGCCTGTTTCTCGGGGGAAGGTTTTCTCTGTGCGCCATTGCAGTCTGGCATGTGCTCCACGAACCCATGCGGCACGTGAATCTTCAATCGTGGAGTGGGGTTGGAGGGGGCCCTTGTCACAGCTCCTCAGGCTGGCGCCCTGGGAAGACACCACAGGCCGCCTTGAGGGAGGCTGTGGCCGGCCGTGACTGCGGGACATCTCCTGCCAATTACCACAGCTCTGGGCCCAGATGCGCCCCTCCCTATCTGCTGGGAAAACAGCCGTTTCTCCCTCCCTGCTGCGAGTGGGAGGGGTGGCGGCTTGGGCAGAGCCTGCCTACACCCATGAGGAGCTGGCCCGGAGGCCCCAGAGGCCTGGCCCTCTCTCTCCCAAGGAGGGCCCAGGGTCATTAGGTTAAATCAGTGCCTGTGTCCCCAGGGATGTGTGATCCCTGCAGTTCTTGATTGATTAATGTCATTGGCTTCCCACTGCCAATAAGTCCCTCCTTGGCCACAAAACCCAGCACACTATCAACAAACCAATCAACCCATGGCCCAATGCTGGAGCCTCTAAGGTGGATGTCACCTCATCAGACACAATGTTTAGGTGTTTAGGACAAGAACTCGGAGCTGGTGGGCCTGCCTGGCCACAGGCCTAGTATGGATTGGGGCGTGTCTGCTTCTGAGTTGCTGAGACAAAGGCTTGGCCCGGGAACAGGAACAGGGCTGCGAGTGAAGCCTTGGCATAGCAGAGGGAGGCAGCTGTCACCATCCCCCACCAAGACCCGGCCCTGGGGAGATGCGCACAGCTCTCCTCCCAGCCTGGCTGGCCTGTGTTTGTTTATGTTCAGAGAACTTCACAGCTCTTAGGGGGCAGGAAATAGCTTCTCAAAACACAAAACATGGAGTGGAAAGAAAAGGAAAAGCCATCTGGACTAGGGACAATATATACGAGGACAGGAGGACAAAGAAGAGTCTCTCCATGGGATAGAAGCTGAGCCGTACTGAGGCTTCCTGCTGGCCAAAGCAAAAAGGGAAACGTGGCATGTTGTAGGGGCCTCACCCCAGAGGTGGGAGCAAATGCCAGCTGCTCAGCTCACACCTGGTCAGGAGGTTTGTGGCCAGGCCCAAGGGCCTCCTCTGAGCCAGGCACCTCACCTGTGGGGCAGGGGGCTGATTTGCCCCAATCCCTCAGGGGGGTGAGTGCCACAGTTGTGACTTGGAACTCTCATCCTTCTGACCAGGCTGGGCTTCTGCTGGGCACCTGTATCTTGTCCCCTAGATGGGCTTTAGGAGACCCAGAAGAGCTGGCCCTACCCGTGACACCTGTGGGTGATGCCCACTAGAAGGTCTGATCCTCCTCAGACCCCAGGCCCTAGCCTCTTCCTGACATCCTGCAGAGTCCTGCAAAGAGGACATGCCTGCTGCATTGCTGACCATCCCAGCCTGACTCACCCACAGACCTTTACAGTGACACTGGGGGTTACCCACGTCTGCTGACCTCTAGGAGAGGGGCCCAAGCACCCATGTCACAAGGACCCCATCTCCAGCCATGCCTTTCAGGTGTGAGGCTGGAGTGCAGCTGAACAGCAGCACCGCACAGCAAAAAGACAAAATGCAGGATTGGTTCTTAGGAATCATACCACTGGCTCAAAAAGAGACTGTGAAGTCTAAATCTTGCAAAGGGGTCAGAGTTTTGACACAGAGAGTTCATCTGGGATGCAGGGAAGAGAAATCCCACTGCCAAGATACTCTGCCTGTTCCTCAGGCTGACGCAGGACTATGGAGCAACTATGGGGCAATTCAGAGTCCACCATCCCCAGGAAGCAAAAGAGTCAGTTTCTTTGGTTGTGGACAAAACATCATTGCACCCACTGGATACTACCCTGGGTGTCACTGGCATACACTGTCCCTAGTCACATCAGCTCGCTAATGAGGTTATTTGGCTTCTCAGCTTCTAGTCAGCCCACCCCCTCCCCACCACCAGCAAAAATAATCAAGGTTTCTGCTCTAAAACCAAGGCCCTTTCCTGTCTGTCATTTCACGTGTTGGAGGGATCTGACATGGACAGATGACCACGATCCCCATCTCATAGTTGGGGAGATGGGGCAAGACCATCCTTTAGTGCCCAGCATGGGTCCAGGCCAGGGGTTGGGAGGATATAGCCACTGACTTGGATGCACGAGAGAGCCTGGGCCTCCCTTCTGCTTGCTGACTGCATAGAATCGTGGCCGCGAATGGCTCATGCTCCCGCCCGCCTCCAGTATGGCTAGCTTCCATTTATTTGCACTGTCTCATGTCTGAGCCCATCACCACTCAAACATGGTCCTGTCCCCTCCAGGCTGGCTGCCAGATCTAGAAATGGTCATCTGATGGCTCCATTTCATAGCTCAGGAGAGGCGACAGAGGTCTTCAGTGAGACCCATGTTGCTGGGCTCCCTCGGGAGCAACTCAGGCATAAGCCAGGTCTGACTCCTCTTCTACCCCCAGGTCCCTGCATGGAGCCCGATCCAGCCTTGAAAAAAAAGCAAACATGACTGCCAAGCAAACTGGGGAGGGGCGGTTGGGGACCTGGGACAGGCACCACCATCTGCCTTCATAGCTAGACTCCAGCCCACGCTTCTCTGTCCACTTCCCCTGAAGCCGAGTAGCCCAGGGTGAGCTGGTCCCTCCAGATACCAGCTGCCCCTCTGGCAATGCCAGCCTGACCATGTTAACCAGGTTATATCAGCCCAGGGGTGAAGGAGGGTCACTGATGTTGTGATACTGTATGGACAGCCCTGGATTCCTTCCCTGAGTGGGTAGGATTAGCCTTGTCCACCGTGTCCCCCACAGATGTCCCTACAAAGGCCACCAAACTGCAGGTCAGAGTCTCACCTCGTATAGCAGACAGCCCAGGGACCATATGTCAGACTTGAAATTGTAGCCATTCTCATGGATCCTCTCAGGTGACATGTAGTACGGTGTCCCAACTGAAAGACAGCGTGGTAGAGTTTAGGATCAGGGATTAGGTGGGCAGGAATCGGGTTTACAGTGGGCAAGAGACCAGGCCTTGGCCTCTGGGTGGCCCACTCTCCCTCTCTGGGCCTGTCCCCTCCTCTGTCAGCTGACACAGTTGATTAGACTGGAGTGCCCATGCTAGTGGGGCATGAAATGCATCTGAGGCCCCAGAAACTTGAAGTGGATCCCCAAGAACCAGCTCTGGGCTGGGCAGCCAGGTGGGGTTGAGTGTTTCTGCCAAGTGCTGGTAATGGGAAGCAAGTAACCAAATGTCTCTCAGGTGACTGAGTCTAGAAGAGCCTAGAGCAAGCTCTCAACACTGTCAATGTTAACCAAGCTGTTCACATTAGCTTATTCATGTTCCCAAGGGCCCCATGAGGAAGCCTCCCCATTTTACAGATGAACAGACTGAGGCTCAGACAGGTAAAGAAGCTCACATAAAAGCTGCAGGAGCTGGGCACCAGTGACTCACACCTGTAACCCTAGCTGCTTGGGAAGCAGAGATCAGGAGAATCATGGTTCAAGGCCAGCAAATAGTTCTCAAGACCTTCCCCCACTCATCTCCAAAACAACCAAAGCAAAACGGCCTGGAGGTGTGGCTCAAGTTGGAAAGCATCTGTTTGGCAAGTGTGAAGCCAAGAGTTCAAACCCCAGTCCCACCACAAAAAAAGAAAAAAGACAAAAAGTGGCAGGAGTTTGGTGTGGTGTCACACTCTTATAGTCCTTATACCCAGGAAGCTGAGGCAGGAAGATAGTGAGTTTGAGGCCATCCTGGATAGCGGGACCTGTCTCAAGAAAACAAATAAAAAGTGGCAGGAATGGGGTTCGGCTGGGATCCACAGCCTCCAGAAACCAAGGTTTTTGCTTCCCTCTGTGGCCAGCCCTGCTCCAGACTTTGGGCTGGCCAGGATTTCTTTTAGTTTAGAAAAGGTACTTATCATAACAGAGATTTCATTAAAACGAAGTATTTCAGTTCACCAGAAGACACCATTGAGAGAGTTGAAAAGCAAGCCACAGCCTGGAAGATTGTCCTTGTCATCTTAGTCGTGTACCCTGCAGGGACCAATACAAGACACTATGCTCTGGATCTGAAATGCCCCCAAAGGCCATGTGCTAATGACGTGACTGCAGCAGATGGTGTGACTGGAGGCATGGTGTCTGCAGAAGGTGGTTGGAAGAAGTAGTTGCACCTCATCTCTGGCCCCTTCCTCTGTCTCCTTCTCTCTCTGCTTCCTGGCCACCATACAGTGAGCAGCTGTGCTCATCACCCCCTCCCCACAGGTCCACAGCCATGAGACCAAGTGACCACGGACTGAAACCTCTGAAACCATGAGCCAAAACAAACCATTTCTCCTTTTAGTTGATTTGGACACAATGACAGGAAGCTGTCACACACACACACATTGTATTTATGTATTTCTATTTTTCTGCTGTGTCGGGCTCAAACCCAGGACCTCACGTGAGCTAGCTAGTGTTCTACCACCGAGCTCCATCCCAGCCCCCAGCATGTATTCTAAAACTTCTAGAAATAGGTAAGTAAAAGACAAGTAACCTGTCCCTCAAATGAGCAAAGGCGCTTCCCCCGAGAAGGCCCACGTGGCTGATAAGCACAGGGAGCAATGCTGTTTTCCTCATTACCCGTCAGGGAGGTGCGGCCGCAGCCCACCTGAAGGGTGAAAGAGAAAAAGACAAAGCACTGCTGGTGGGCACGTAACATGGCACACAGCAGCCGCAAAAGTGTTCATGACACCGTGACCCAGATAACCCGGTCCTAGGTGGATACCCAAGTGAGCAAGCTCTCTGCCCCTCAAACGACATGATCCATTATGTGCTCTGGGGCTCTGTTTGCAACAGCCCCAAACTAGAAACGAATGTCAGTCAACAGGAGACTAGATAAATTGATAAATGGCGTCCCGTTCAAAGAATGGACTACTATACAGCAACAGAAAAGAACAAACGGCAGGGACAAGGAGCAAAACAGATCCGTCTCACAGATGTAATGCTGAGTGAGGGAAGCTAAGCACAAAGAGCATGCACGCATTATTTGATTCCATTTTTGTGAAGTCTGGGAACAGGAAAAACTCCCTTATGGGGGTGGTGACCGGGAGTGTTACTGTGTATACCTGAATTAAAAAGTGAAGATGATGAAAGGTTTTTAATGGTGGGGACGGAGCTCTGCTGCTAAGAGGAAGACCAGATGATTGTGGGGACTCCCCCGGTGGCCCCCCTTCACTCCTGGGAAAGGCTGATTCTCAGGACACAGTGGCAGGGCATGCCCTGACCTGACAGTCCCTGCAGGGTTGTCTGAAGTGGACACTTTTGAAGAGCTGGGACTGAAAAGATGGGAGCTGCCCCAGGGAGGGAGCAAGTTCCCCATCCGCAAGAGGCACAGGAGCTGGGGAGAGGGGCAGGAGGCAAGGCTGGGTGGGCCTGGGAGGCTGGTATTGCAACCTGCAATTCTGATATTGGTTCATTTGGAGGATGACTATTCCGGGGCCTTCATGACAAGATTTTTAAGGGTGTTACATGGAGACCCCATGTCATGTGGCCGAGCTGCACTGGCCAATGCTCGCCCGAGATGTGGCCTGTGATCCTGGGAAGGCGGATCCAGAACCACAGAAACATGGGGCGCTGGGAGAGCTGTTCAGTGGCTATTCACATCAGAAGGAAATGGGTCCAGCCTTCAGGATTTCACCGGCAAGCAGAGTGAGCGTAACTTGCAATTTTGCCATGGATGGGCATTTTCAAAACACAGAAATCCCAACTACCACTTAGTTAAAATAAAGACAGTTTAACACTAGAAAAGCCACAATCTCAAAATCTAGTACAAAGTCTAGCTTCACGAGCACGCTATTATCTTCTTGTTTTGATCGTCTTACTGGAGAAGGATGACGCACACCGTCTTGCCCTGCGTGAGGAGGCCGTGGCTGGTGCTGGAACCCACTGTGCTGGGCTGTGGGCTCCCCGGGGAGACATTTGTTTACACTTTTTCCTTGCAGCCAAACGCCAAGCTTACTTGACATGGCTCCCAAGGGCCAGGATCCCTGTGAGCTCAAGTGTTGACACGGTAGCTACCTCTTTATTAGGACACCACGCTCCCCTCATGCCAGTACTATCTGGAAAAGGACACCGGCCCTCAAGATGTGATTCTGAAAAGCTGTCACTCCCCCTGCAACTGGAACCCAGGGCCAGTTGCTCTTTAGCAGAAAGAGCTAAGGTCAACTTCGCATCTGTGTGGGATGCTGTTGGGAAAGTGGATGGACTTCCCGCAGCAGCACCTTGTCCCCTCTGGTCATGAGACAGCAAAACTAAACAAATGGCCAGGTGAGAAGTGGATAATATGTCACAGTCAGGATGAAACCCAACAGTTCTCGGTTAACAGGGGACATCTGGGCACAAATGGAAGTGGACCGTAGCACCTGAGTGCTATGGACAGATGTGCCTACGTGGGACGACGTGGAGCCCACGGGGTCCATGTCAGCCCCAGAGATGGAGGTCATATCCCCAGTGCGGAACAACAGTGTTCACTGTCTTAAGAGCTGCCTGTGCTCTTAAGACCCCTGGCCAGGCCCCTCCTGGCTTCCCCTGATGGCTCTTCCCAATCTCAGCCTTGCTCTCTGCTCATTTCAGATCTGCTGGGCCCCAGCGGGAGGGGGACCTGGGGATGAGGTGACCTGCGGGAAACCTGGGCTGCTTTGGCCAGGCCTTGCTGAAGGGGATGGCTTCACCATCCAGCCCGACCCCAGCCCCTCTGACAGCCTGATCTTCAACCTGCTTCTGAGCCTTTGCCTGTTCCCCAGCTTCTGAGCTCCATCAAGGCCCCTGCCCTGGCCAGGGAGAGAGAGCTACTCCATAGGCCCAGACGTCTCATCTGTCCCCGCTTCTGTCACCATTTTCTCCCCTGGATGACTCTCAGGAAGACCACAATGGGTCCAGGTCCCTGTTGTGGCCTGGCTTATGGTGAAAGCCATGGGCATAGAAGAAAAGAAAGGTTAGGGGACCCCTTTCCCTTTCCTTCTTCCCCCAACCGTCCCCCTCTGTGCTGTTTTTTCTGCTTTTATGTTTTCATGGGTGTAGGGCAAAAGGCAAACTCCTAACACAATCTGGAACTTTCTTCCAAGATGTCAGCACTACAAATTGCCACCCATCCATCATCCATGCCACTGTCTACCCATCTTCCCATTGTCTACCCATCAATGGATGCATCCATCTCCCATTCACATATCCACTAGTCTGTCCATCCATTAATCTATCTGTCCATCCAGCGACCCATGCACCCATTTCTATCCATTGTTAATGGAGCCTTGCTGCTGTGCTGGGACCTTGCTGGAGTGGACCCACAAGGAAGTAGCGTTGCCTGTCCCAAGAAGTGTCCGGAAAGAGCCAGCTGGCCATGTGCATGAAGAAAAGGCACTGGTCAGAGGCCATAGTCACTGGACAGGGGAAAGCCTGGATCCTGGGGCTGGGTGTGATGGTGCATGCCTGTAATCCCAGCTACTGGGGAGGCAGATGTAAAAGGATCATGGTTCCCTATCTTTACTTTTTTCTCTACCACTTAAGCCATGACCCCAGCCCTTTTACCTTTATTTTCTTTTTCTGATAGGTCCCCCATTTCGGCCTGGGATGGTCTTGGACTGCAATCCTCCTATTGCCATGTAATTAGTAGTTGAGATTACAGCTGTGTACTACCATACTTGGTCAGTGTGAGACCAGGACCTGGGAGTTTCTGATGAGTGCTACTGTCTGAAAGGAGGTGCTAAGCCTTGATCTTTCAGATTCTCAGCAAACACCCAAGGAACAAAAGCCAAATGAATGCATGAGGTACCAACTGAGAGAGGTTCAGCCTGTCTCAGGCTGAGTACGGAGTCGGTGGTCTCCTACCCAGGAGGGGGCTGCTTCCTTGGAGTCTGTAAAGACAGGTCACTGTGCCTCTCTGGGGCCCACGACTTGTGCCAGAGAGTGTGAAGCTATAGAGGTGACACAGCCCCTCTTCCTGGTGTGTCACGTAAAACCTGGATTTTCTACCAACAAGCAATATGCAGATGTGACGGACAGGCCACAATGTGCTACTTGCATGAATTTTAAAGATGAAACAAGAGACTTCAAAGAAATCTGAGCTTGCAGTGAGCCCCTAGAGGATGCGTCTGCAGATCCCACGGGAGCGGTGACTCTAGGGAAAGCTGGGAGAAGCTGGCAGGCGCGGTGGAGAGGGGTCGCCACAGATGCTAGGCTGCCCCACTAGGCAGCACAGGCCACTTCGGGTCCACCTGCGTCTCCATCCACCTTGCAGGATCTCGGCTTTCCCTTTTCCCAGCGGGACAGGGCTGTGCATGTGGAAAAGGGCCCTAACGACCCGGACCTTCCCAAGTCTTTACTAGAACATGGATTTCAAACCCCGCAGATATCAGAAGAGAGCGCAGACCTCAAAGGGGAAGCTGATTAAAGAGCCTGTCCCCGAGACGCCACTCCTGTCAAAACAAACTTTGCGGTGTGTTGAAATGCTCCTGGTGTTTGAAACATTTTCGTTAGATATGAACAAGGCAGATTTCACATGAAGGAGAGGCTAGGGTCTGCGAGCTGCCCCTTCCCCAAACAGTGCTTTTGAACAGGACTGGAATGAACTGCCGACGTCCATCCACTAGGGCTGAATCTGTGACAGGTGGGCAGGGTGGGCATCACTGGCATGACCTCGGAGCTGGACCCGCCAGATGTGGCCCACTCTGACCTCTCCCTAGCTAAGATCAGAAACCAGGTCTCAGCCTCAGTTTCCCCATCAGCAGCAAGGGGCTCCCCTCTGCCCTCTGCAGCCTCGCTTCCTTGTCTGGGAAGCGGACAGTGAGTAGAACCGTGTCGGTTCTCGGTGAAGACTAAGGGAGCTTCCTCCGGGTTGAAGGCAGGGCCAAGCAGGCTTTTTGGGGCCTCGCAGGGCGAGGCACATGTCCTTGCTGAAGGAGCAAGTGAGTGAGTGAAAAATGAATGTGCTAAATCTCACATCCTTGCCTCTGATCGCTTCCTCACTTGCTGTCCCTCTAAGATCTTCCTCCGTCCTTCTCTTGAATACACCAGGCCTATGGCAGAGAAGCCACCACAGTGACCTCTGTGGCTCCCACCTGCATCAGAACCGGCCTGAGGTCACCGGATGACCTGCATGCTCTGGGAAGAAGGGATGGGCTGGATTGTTCCCAGGCGTCCTGTGCTGCTGGGTGGAGCCAGGGCAGGAGGTGGCCCAGGGACTCGTCTCGTCTTTCCGGCCTCTGCTCCTCACTCCAGTGTCCTCCTGGGTGTCTGGTCATGTGGGCCGGGCATCCCTGTCACTGCACACAGGATCACATGCATGGCAGTGCTGGCATGTGACAGGACAGGGGTCATGACAAGCCCCCAGGTCCTTCGCCAACACTTGATGCTGGCTCCTCCCATGTAACAGGGAACTCGGGGTTCTCACCCCCCAGAGAACTTATGGGGGTCCTCTCTTGATCCCTTCTCCAGGCACCCATGACCCAAGCCCATGCTGTAGGCTGTTGCCTGCAGAAGGCCACTTGGACACAGGGTGACTCCTCATGGGGCCCAGAGCCCATATGCCAGGTGAACACAGGCGTGTGGCATCACCTCTCAGCCTCTGTCAACTCCTCTGTAAAAAGGCCTGGTTGAGATGTTTTTTTTTTAGAAAAGCAAATGTTCTCCTTTTGGTCGTTGTTTTTGGTTTTGAGACAGAGTGTCGCTATGGAACTCAAGCCTCAGATCACAATCCTCCTACTTCTATCTCCTGAGTGCTGGGATTACAGGCATATACCACCACGCATGGCTCATCTTCTCTGTTGAATCATCTGATCAGTGAATTCGGTGTCTGGAAAACTGAAATCCAGGGCAGCTCTGGGAGTGAGGAGGTGGTTTGGGGGTGCAGTATAGAACCCCCAAATATGATCCAGCACCTCCTTGCATGCAGTGGGCGTGCAGAGGGGTCCACCTGTTCCCTCATCAGGCCACCTGTGTCTGTTTCTGCCCATCTGAGGACCCTGGAAGGCAGGGAAGGCTACAGAATCACAGGTTCCCTGTACCCAAGCTGGGGCTGGAAAGTTGGCTCAGCAATGGACAAGAAAGGACTTGAAGGCTGTGGCCAGACCCAGCCCTGGGAGGGTGACTGTGCTCTGACTGCTTGTATCTGATGGGAGTCACCCCTACCGGCCTCATTTCCCCAGCCCCAGGGAGGCCATGCAGGCCCTACACGGGGCCCTGGGTGTGAGTGACCTCCCTTCCTGCCCCATTCCAGCCCTGCAGCGCCGACATCCTGCTCTCCGGCCCCACCATTTGTCTTGCAGCTGCTGCCGTAGCTTGGAGCAAGACACTTGCTCGTAGCTTGTGAGCTGTGTATAGGCAAATCTTTCATTTTTCTTTCATTACGCCGGCGTGTACTGTCACTTAATTTTTATGTATGCAATCCTTCCTGACAAATATGATCTGCTGCCTGGTAATTCGTCTGACGCTCATTCTGTTCCGTGCTCTAATTACGGCTCCTATTCCTGACACGGAGGCAGCCGCTCTGCCACCGCTGGGTACCGCACCTGTCAGCCCGACCATGGCACTGACTAATGCCCTTTCATGCCAGCCTCGTGTTAGCAAATACAGAGGTGGGGAGGGGGCTGGGCAGGCGAGGGGAGGAGGGCGGATTTGCATAAGCCCAGCTCCGGGGGGGGGGGGGGGGGGGGGTTGGCAGCCTTAGGAGAGGAGATGGTTGCCAGGGCAACGAGGCTGCTGCCACCACAGCATCTCCACGTAGTAGGTGCACACTGGTTGTGGCGGATGCATAATTCATACCCACACACAGTGGGAACGGGGTCCCTGGGTCCTTCCTGAGTCACAGTGCAGTGGCAATTAGTTCAATCCCTTGCCTGACCAAACGTGAGTGCCAGGCTTAGTCAGCTGTTTGCAATCCTCGCTATAGAGCGGTCTTTCCCGGGTCTCGGAGTCTTTGAGTCCCAGGCTTTGGCCCTGTGCTGTCACCTCCACAGAGCCCGGGCAGGTGCAGATTAAGGCCTTGGGTTCTGGGAGCCTGGCTAGCAAGCGGACCCTTGCCAGCCTCAGCTCGGTGGTGTTTCTTCCACGTGGCGTGGAGCAGGAGCAGGCCCGGGCCCGGGAAGGCTCCTTCCACTCGGCCCACAGCAAGCCGGTGCTCAAAGGCCTTGGGAAGCACCCAGCTTGTGACGATGGCCTTTTCCCAAGCTCCAATTCTTCCTCATTAATACAATAAGTGCACCAGCCCAAGTGGATAAAAATCAGAGTGTCGGAGGAGCTGGGATCTCTGCCGTCCTTAATGATGAGATCCTAACTGGCTCTGACGGAGCGCTGCTGTCTGCTCCACAGCGGGGCAGAGTGAGGCTCGGGCCTGACTGACGGGCCCAGGAGGCAGCGGCCTTCACTCTTCCCTGACAGCTTCCCTCGGAGTTCCGGCCTTTGTGAAGCTGTTACAGCAGATAAGGGGCTGGGGTGGAGCCCAGTAGCACGTGAGAAGTGCCAGGCTTGATCCCCAGCACTGAAGAAAAAAACCCCCAAAATGCCAGCCAGGTAAACAGTCCCAAACCGATCAGAACATCACTTTTCACAAGAGAAATACCTGAGCGGGTTGGGAAGAATGGGGTTCCTTGATCATCCAAGGCCCTCGACCCCAGGCTTCTGGAAGAATCATGGGCTCTGGCTGGAGAGGCCTGAGTTCAAGTCCTGCTCCAATGGATGCTGTTGGACCCCAGCAAAAGCACTTAGGCTCCCTCCATTTCAGACTCCCGTCTGGACAAAGGAAGGAACCTATGTTCCCTGAAGCCAGTGCATGTGACAGAAGCCTCCTAACTTCCTGGGGATGGTCCTCGCCCAGCCTTTCCTTGAAGCCAAAGGAAGAGGCTGGGCCAGGGATGTCAGGGTTGGATGGCGACAGGTCCTTCCCAACACACCTACAAGCAGCCTGTTCATTTCTCTTAAGTGTGTATGAATGCTAAATCCCTCAGTCATGGAGACCAGTGTGCAGTGACAGTTTCCATAGGAGAAGTGTCCAGACAGCACCGTCGCGACCTGAGGCTGCTGTGGCATTCCTAGCTTGCCACAGACACCCAGGCGTCAAAGATGGGAGACCTGGGCTGAGCAGTGGAGTAGGGTGGAAATGAGTGGAGACTGGCAGGTCCCAGGAGGTGTCCCCAAACACAAGGCGCTTTGGGGACTGGCTACCCCACAGACCTCTGCAAAACGTGCCCTCGGTTGCCCTGGTGAAACCCTGGTGATGCACGGGTCACGCTGGCCTCATGCTTTAATCAAATGGAAAAGTCTCTGTTGTCATCTGTCCAGGTTTCATGCCCTGTTATATTTGGGCCACGCAGGTCCGGAAGTAGGCACAGCCTCACCGGATCCAATACATCTGGTGACCCGAACCACTCAGGGGGCCTGCACCCTAGGGTGCCTCCAGCCCCCAGAACGAGCAGCATCCAGGGTTGCCTGTCTTTCTAGCCATTCTGCAGCCCACACCCTTCAGAGGACCCTGCTCTGCACCACACCCCGAGGCTCTCCTGTCCCTTGCCTGCCTGCCAGCTCCTCTTCACCCTCCACAGTCCCCACGAGGGCAGCTCCAGCTGGGTGAGCTCCTGGCCTGGTCCCCTACCTCCAAAGCTGCCTGTTTAAAACTAAACTGAGGACCAGCTCGACAGTCCTCCCCAGGGAACAGGTCACAGTGGAACAATGCACAGCAAATGGCCAAGCCCACATGCTGTGATGGCCGTCCATCACCCAAGGGTGACCTGAAAGTGCAGGAGCCCCCACTGCACCCCTAGGCCTTGCTCACTCTTCTCTCAGTCTGTTCTGAAATGACAAAAAGGCATTTCCCACAATCACTAAGCAGGTAAGTCCCAGGGGCCATGTGTGCCCCTTTGGTCCAGCCACAGAGACGGGCCACCTTACCTAGTGAGTGGGCCGCAGTGGTCTCAGAACTGAAGAAGCGGCCTAGCCCAAGGTCACCGAGCTTTACAATGCCTGTGGCTGTGATGAACACGTTGGCAGGCTTGATGTCTGCAGGAGAAGGAGACAGGGTTGGTGTGGGGAGAGGAGGCTGGGGAGGGAGGGCCGGCAGGGCAGGAGGAAGCAGGAGGTCTGTGGTGGTCACTGGAGGGCCTTCCAGGTGATTGGCAAGCCTAGCCCTGGCATAGCCAACTCCTATGAAGACATCAAAGCCCATGTGAAAGTTCCCTTCTCTGGGAGGTTTCCCTGGCTTTGCCTACCATCAGCTGTAGGTCCTTGGGAAAACTGCCACATTTTTCTTGAGCCTCATTTTCTTCATCTGTAAAATGGGTCTAGGTTCTCCTATTTCATAGGGTCAATTCGGGGGTCTAAGAGGCAGGGAATTGTGCCTCTGCTTCCTTTTGTACAGTTGTGTCCTTTGTGCCTACAAGAGTGCCTAGCACACAGCAGGTGCTCTCTCTGTGACCACCTGCACAATGATGACAAAGCAGGGGGAAGCTGTATCGTGTCCACCAAAAGGACAACACTAGCAGAATAGGTGGCGGTGATGAGTGGAGACATCAAGCACCCAGCTTCCTCAAATGTGGGATGACTTTTAGAGACTCCTTTGTGTCTCACTTCCTCTACTTAGCCAACTCCTATGAAGATGCTAAAGCCCATATGAAAGTTCCCTTCTCTGGGCAGAGGTGACAACAACAGTGGAACTGGTCATGCCTGGGCTACCTGTGCTGGCTCCAGGCCGGTGTTGGGGACTGGAGACTGTGTGCTGGGGGGATGGGAGCAGGGTCCCCTAAAGCTATGTGGCACCGGGAGGTCCCTGACACGGAGCAGGTGTGTGTACAGTAGCTGGCCACCCCCCTGGGTGGGGAGCACAGAGTGGCCCGGCTTCCTCACAGGGCTGCTCCTGAGGTCCCGGGGTCCCTGGCCTCCCGCGGGGCGCGTACCTCTGTGCATGACACGGCGCGAGTGCATGTGCTCCACGGCGCTGCACAGCTGCACAAAGTACTTCCACACTGTCCTCTCGGGGATGAGCCGCTTCTGCTTCTTGAAGTACTGCAGGGGACAGACAGACAGACGCAAGCCCCGTGAGCAAGCCAAGAGTGCTGCGCGCACCCTTGCTTCGGCCTCCAGCGTGCCCGGGGCCTCGTGTTAGCTCCCAGAGGGAGGGTGGACCGGCCCCCGGTGGGCCCCGGATGGAGGGACCCCCGACACCCCAACAGGGAGCTCCGTGCGGGCCTGGACAGTCCACCCCGCTCTCAGCCTGGCCCTGGGGGAGGACACCCAGGACACCCTCGCCTTGGCTACACTGAAGGAGCTGTGACAGAAAGTTCTGGAAGGCTGATTCAGGACCAGGTTTGTAGCCACAGTTTAGATAGCACCACACAGGGGGCTTCTGGGCACCAGGCCCTGTGATGGGATGCAAGGCAACGCTCTGCACCCCGGTTACCTGAGTACCGGGGTGGTTCAGAGCCATCTCTTCAGAGAAGCCAGGTTTCCCCAAAGCAACTGTGGGGTGACACTGTGGCCCATCTCTCAGGCAGCCGCTGGGGTACAAAAAGCTGGGAGCTGACCAGGCAACTGCCCAGCCTGGGGAAGGGGCCCAGGAGGAGAAAGGACTGAGCCAGCACTGCTGAGTAGCTCTGTGTGTGGCCACAGGGCTGAGCCCTCACTGTGGCCATCTGACTGACAAGAGACTTAGGGCCACAGAACAAGAGGCCAAGTCACAGCTCAACCCACTGAGAACCCCAGCTCTTCACCCAGAGCCTGTGATGCGGACCCTGCTCAGAGAGGGTGAGGAATAGGCCAGGGTTAAGCAGAGCTGGGATCCAGATCTGGGCATCTCCAGAAGTGGCCAGCTGGCAGCACCTGACCTCAAAGTAAAAGCCCTGGAAGCTCTCCCAAGGCCCCTGCTAGCACAGGGACCTCATGGATGAGCCATCCCAGGCTTCTGGCAGAGACCCCTGCCTTGGGCCACCCCCAGGATCATGGCGGGCCAGGCTGGGGTGTTATTTACACCGCGATGTTACTCAGTCCTCATTACAGTGTTTACTTGGGGACGCGCACAGCCGAGAGCGGTGATTTTCTAAATGTCACATCGTGTAAGTGCTGCCTGACATTTAGTGGGAAGGCGCGGAGTCTCTGGTGGGTTTTGGGCTGGCAGCAGCAGGTCTAGGCTTCACCATGCTCCGTAAACATCTCGAGCACCGTGGCTGGCTGGCCCCTGAGGCCACAGGCCCTTGGGACACGGGCCTTGCTGGCCAGCAAACTTTATGGCCAGTGGGACAATGATGGTGGAGCCCTGGAATGGCTTGGTTGTCCTCACCACCCAGAGGCAGCTAAGGGTGGAAGGGCCTGGAAACTGCACTCCTACCAAGCACTGACCCTGTGCTGGATGCCTTATGGTCGAGGAAACTGAGGCTAGGGGCCTGCCCAAGGTTGTGCCTGAACCAGGTTGGGTCTCTGCAGGGGAGGACCCTGCTCTGTGCACTGCTGAGGGAGCAGGGGCAGGCAGGGGACAGGACAGGAGAAAGGCACCGGCCAGTGGGGATGGTGGCCGAGGTTGTGCCGGAATCTGCTGACACTCATCCTAGCCTCAGCCCTGCTGGCTTTCTGCTGAACTGAACCCTGAGCCAGGCCCAGGCCCAGGCCAGGGGTGAGTAGGGGAAGGCAGAGGGGTATTGGCAGCTTCCTCCCCTCAGCCTGAAGGAGCTGGCACTGGACTGCAGTACCCACGGCCGGGATGGTGGTGGACACTGAGGCTTGGGGAAGGAGGGTTGGCCAAGTCACACCCAACCCACTGGCTGCCTCCAGCCCCACCCCATGGAATGACAGGCAGGCCTAGGGTCCGTGGAGGCAGTGCATGGATGACAAGGAGGGGCCTCTGTCCCCTGCTCCTCCTCTCCACCTCTGTCCCTGCCCTTGCCTTGCTCTCTGTTCTACAACCAGTCTTTTTTCTGGAATGCAAGATTGACCCCATGTGCTCTACCAGAAGCCTGAAGACGCTCCTCTGACCCAAATTCTAAGCCTAGTCCCAGAGGTTCTGTGTGACCCAAGGCCCACACTTCATTTGGTGCTCTTGCTGGATCAAAATGTGTTTCAACACCCTGGCTCTTGTACAGCTGTTCCTGCCTCTACATTATTCATCTTCCCTCAGTCTCGGCTCAGGGGTCACCTCCTCCAGGAAGCCTTCCTTAACTTCCACTTGGCTTGTTTCTGGAGCAGCCTTCCTGTTAGAATCTGGGTACCCTGAGGGCAGTAGCCCTCACGAGGCTGGCACATGGTTGGAGGGTGCTTGTATTTGTTCAGGGAGAGGACGACAAAAGGAAGGAGAAACCGGAGAAGGGGGTAAGGACGTGATATAGCACATCTGTTCCCACTAGGGATCTGTGTGGAGATTAATATCCCTGTGAATACATTAATATGTCAGTGAAAATATAAAAGCAGGTGATAACAGCTCAAGTAATGCCACTTCCCAACGACGCCGTATTCCTAGGGGCCAAATTTCAGAAGAGCAAGTGCCGAACAATTGCTCAGTCTCCAGTGCCTGCTGGAAAGACAGAATCCATGTCTGCCCCATTTCCAAGTGTGGCTGGGAGCAGGGTGGGGGGCTTGAGTGTGGCCCACCTCACTCAGGAGCAGGCAGACTGGGGTCAGAGGGATGATGGGGGCCCAGGCTGGGAGTGGAGGCACAGGCCCAAGCCAGCAGGGCCATGAGGGAGGACCAGGGAGTGGGCTTGGGCTCCTCTACAGGGAGGCTGGGCTGCCTTGTGCAGGAAGCTAAGCCTCCCTGGGCTCAGCGGTGCATGAGCTTGCTCGGTCAGTGCTCTGCCAATGGAGCTACAATGGTCCCTGATGCCAGACACATGGTGGACCTGCTCTGGGGCCCTGGGTGGGGGGACAAGGTGACCTGAGCAGTGTGTGCACAGCAGGGACCAGATCTGGCCCTGAGCTTGCCTGTGTGCCGTAGCCAGTCCCCTGGCCTCATGAAGACCCCAGACGATGACCTGGCCACAGGCGTGGCGCAGTCCCCACCTTCTGAGTGTTCTTAGGTAAGGGTCTGAACCTCTCTGGGCTTGGCTCTCCCTTGCTGTGAAAGGAGCTGTTGGACCCGTGAATTACTATCTGGGGTCTGACCTCCAGGGGGCGCTTCTCCCTTTGCATGGCAGAAGTGGCTGGTGGCTAGGATGGCCCTGGGGTAGTGAGGTGGCCGGAGGGGTTCTTTCTATGCTCAGCGGCACTTGCCTGGCCCCCAGCCGGCCTGAGCATTGCTCAGCCTTGCTTCATGTGCACTGCCCTCTTTCTGGGTTTCACCTGAGCCTGGTGGGGAGACAGGGTGGCTGTGGACTGAGCCTGAGCAGCCGAGAGGAGGCAGCCCTAGCCCCGGCTCTGACCTTGATCATCTGCGAGAGGTCACCTGCGTCGGCCAGCTCCAGCACAATGTTCAGTTCGTTGTCCTCGATAAACGAGTCGAAGTACTTGATGATGTTCGGATGGTTCAGTTGCTGTGCCGGGAGAGAGGGGACGGGAAGGTCACACCCAGTCCTGGTGCCGCCTTGCTCACTTGGGGATGATGAGGTCCCATGTTTGCTGGCTTGCCCCAGCAGGATGGGCCTGTGCTTGGGGACCAGGCAGACCGGGGTGATGTTGGGAAAATCGCTTTGTATCCCCAAGCCTCAGTTTCCCCACTTGCAAAATGGGCACTATGTTTTATTGGTACTGGGGATTGAACTCAGGGCCTCATGCTTGCTCTACCACTCGAACCAGTCCGCCAGCCCTGAGCACAACGTTTTCAAGAGTAGCTGTGAACGTCAGGTGGACTAAAACCCTTGCGTGTGTAGTAGCACCTGCCCAGAGTGAAGGTGGACCCAGAGGTCACTAGTGGAAGTGACCCCTACCCCATGCCCTTTAGGGGCAGGACCAGGCCCTGTCACCCTGTCCCTGTGCTCAGCCTGCAGAAGTATTCTTCTTTCCTGTCTTTCTCAATTTCCCACACATCCCTTGGGAATCCTAAAAAAAAAAAAAGCCATTCCTGATGGGACAGCAACCTGACTGACTGACTTGCTCAGGGCCAGGGTGCTGCCTGTGGCCTCTGCACCATGCACATGGAGACCAGACAGGACACTGCTCCACTGGCTGGAAGGCAGTGAAGACTGCATGTTAAAAAATTGTTGATAGCTGGGTGTAGGGACTCACGCCTATAATCCCAGCACTCAGGAGGCTGACGCAGGAGGATCTTGAGTTTCATGCCAGCCTGTCTCAAACAAACAAGGTTCTGGGATCTGGGGAAACAAGGTTCTGACATCACCATCCCACTAGCGTGGTGCGCGATTCCAACAGTCAGCTGAGACCAGAGGCTGGTTGATATCAGCGTTTTCTAAAAGGCCGCAGGTCTGTGTGAGAGGGCTGTGCACAGATGCTTTGTGCTGACCTGTGCTATTCCCAGATTCCAGCATGAAGAGCCTGGGCAGACGTGACAGACCACGCCGTCCCCCTTTCATTCATCCCCACCAGCCCAAGATGGGCAGGCCATACTCAACCAGGCCCCAGGGGCCGGAGGTGGCCTCAGCCAGCTGTCCCAGCTCACACCAGGATGCCCCTCCCCCAGGCTGACACTGCTGTACCTGGTGTCTACTGCCTGTCCTAGTCCTTGAGCCCACTCTGGACCAAACCCATGGGTGTCCTGCTCCTGCCACCCCCTCAGTCAGTGGGTGGTCCTCAGAGGCTGCCTGCACTGTGCCTCAGGAAATGTGTAGACACGCAGCACATTCGAGGGGTTGCCTCTTCTCCTGGCTCCCTGAGTGGCTGTAGGGACCAGGAGTGGCCCTGGAGAGGGCATTCTTCCCATCTCAGCAGCACCTCAGCCTCAAGTGAGGGTGACTGGACCCCAGGAGGTGGCACGAGGCACTCACTCAGCCCACACCCCACCCAAGTGTCCTCCCCATCTGTGCCCCTCCCCCACTCCCCAGCCCCACACCTGCAGGAAGGGGGCTCCGCTGTCCCTGCAGGGCCCCTGCGTGGTGCATCCTCCTGTCCATCCTTCACCTGCCCTCCCTGTGCCGTGTGTGTCCCTGTGCCCTACAGGCTGGGATTCTAATCCACTCTGGCGCTGCAGCAAGCCACGAGAGCAGGACCTAGTCCTCCTCTGGCCCTCGAGGGCTACTGTGCGCCCCTGCCCTGCACGAGGGCCCACGCCCAGCCCAGCCAAAGGGGCACCTGGCCGCTGTGTGCTGTCACACCTCACTCTCCTTGCAGTCAGGGAGAGGAGGGCAAAGGCCACTGCCTCTCTGGCCTAGCCCCACCCCAGGCAGGGCTCAAGCATGGGCCCCTTAGACAAATCCATGAATGTTCGTGGAGACCAGGAAGGCGCAGAACAGAGCAGGAAGCCGTTAAGAGCCGCTGGTCCTGAGACAGGGAACAGCAGGTGGACAGCCTGTGGCTGCGGAGAGGTGGTGGGGACGGTGTCAGTGAGGGGTCGCTGACTCACCCAGCCCTCCATTCCACAGCCCATGCTCCATTCCCTGCTCTGCGGAGTTGCAGCTTACAGTAAGGAGGAGACAGTTGCTAAGGGTAACGCGGTCATGCAGGACCATGTGCCCATGCTGCATGGGGAAGAGAGGTGACGTCAGAGGAGGGGACATTTGAACTGCTGTCGGAAGGACGAATGAGGATTACTGAGACCGAGTATGAGCGGACAGCTTATGCAAAGGCCCTGTGGTAGGAGGGACCCAGCACATCCCAAGGGCTAAGCAGAGGCCAGTGCGGCTGGTAGATGATGTCGAGGCACGGGGCTTCTGAGAGCCAAAGGTAATAGTTACGGGGAGGAAGAGGGAGAAGGCCACAGTCTTAAAAGGACCCCTGAATACTCTGGCCTCTTGTCAGAGCAATGGGGGTTCTGAAAACTCTAAACGCGTCAGACCACACTAAGGTTTTATTTATCTTTTTACTATTGACTTGTAGGAATGTGTATGTATTTTGTAAGTCCTTTCTCAAATACAATGCTGCTAGTACTTTTTCCCATCTGTGACCTGCCTTTTCATTTTCTATGGTGGCTTTGATAAGCACAAATGATTCCTTTTGATGAAGTATAATTGATTACTTTTCTTGTGATTAATGCTGCTTGGGTCCTAAGACACCTCTGACTAGTCTCAAGTTACGAAGCTTTTCCCCAGTTTCCTACAAACTTTACACTATAGTTTTAGCTTTTATGTTTAGTCTACAATCCATTTCAAATTGATCTTTGTGTGCAGTGTGAGGCAGGGGTTGAGGCTCACTCTTTTCCATTGGGATGTCCAGCTTTCCACTGTCCACTGAATTATTTTGGTGGTTTTGTCAAAAAAACACCCGGCCCAAGTTTTGTTTTGAGAAGGTCGAATGGGAGCTAACACTGGTTACCCCATCAGTGTCCCCCACATTCCATAGTCACAGCTTTCATTTAGAAAGAGGACCAAAGAAAATGAAAGGTAAGGGGAATGCACTGTAAAATCCGTAAAGTGCATCTTACAGCACGGCCATGCTGTAAGTAGCCTCGCTACTTCCTGAGAAACTTCACCCTCTCTCAGGCACTGACTTCTCAAACAGTCTGGAAAAATTAGGGGGAATTAAAAGCTTTGGTCTGGGAGGTGCTGACTTCCCAGGAGGAGGCGCCTCTCTTGTGCTGGGCAGGTCTGAGCCAGGAGATTTGGCTCCCCAACACCTTGCTAGTCCACAAAGGCTAAGGCAAGACGGGGCCCCCAAGATCAACTGGGCCAAATTCCCAAGGCCCAGAAAGAGAGAGGGGAAGGGATTGGCCAGAGGTGCACATTACGCCAGGGCCGAGCAAAGCCTAGAACCTTGTCTAGAGTCCCCTTTTCACCTGCACCCCTGGAGGTGAGCCTGGGAAGGTCAGAAGGGATGTCGTTATGTGAGGGACGTGGAAAGTGCCAGAGATGCAACGTGTTAGATTTGTCTAGCTGAGGATGAAGGATGGGTGGAAGACCGGAGCGGAGGAGGAAGGCCTGGCTTAGAGTAAAGGGCCCAGGGATGGAAGGGCCCCTCTTTGCTCTCTCAGAATCATTGTCCCCAGGAGCCTCATGGAACCAGCCTGTCTGCCTGAGACCTTTCTTCTCACTGGGCTGCATCCGTGTCTAGTGCCTAGTGGTACTCAGATGGCATGCTGGATAGAGCCTGTCCTGCACGTGGCACAGCTGCCCACCCTGCCAACCCATGCACTGGGGTTGGGGACTTGGGTCTCAGTGTGAGCAATTTCATGCTGTCCTGCTGCAAGGGGCCCTCTGCAAACTGCACTTCCCTTTCTAAGAAGCACCACGTGCCCCCGGGATGTCCTGCTGACTCCCTGCAGGCAGCCCGGGAAGCTGGGTCAGTAGCGGAAAGGCTGGGGTGGTCAGTCAGAGGTTAGAACTATGACGACAGGGCTGCCTTGGACTGAGTGGCCCCACTCCCCAGGTGCTGTGTTGAGTTCTTCACGTGTCCTTCCTTGCTGACTTCCAGCACCTCTGAAAGCACTCCCTTCATTCCACGTTCAAGTCCACTGTGCTAAGTGCATCTGGCATCTTCAGCCTCGCCGTAACCCACTTCTCTAGAATGGCCTCATCTCTACCATCTAGATCCTGGGACTGTGCTAGAGCTCCCTGGAACATCACCTGCTGCCAGCTTGTCCAGCAAGTGTCACTGCCATCAAGAGCTCCACTTTGTCAGAAGCTGCTCAGCAAACTGTTCCATGGCAGGAGGATGACGCCAAGTGATCACCTACTGTGTGCTCTGTGTCACCTGTCCTTCTCAAGTAGTATTTATTTAATCCTCTGTATCTTGTGAGGCAGGTGGTCTTGCCATTGAGCAGATGGGCAAACTGAGGCTCAGGGAAGTTAAGTCACCTGTTTAAGGTCACACACGTTAGAAATGAAGAAGACGTCAGGATTTGAACCCAGATCACAGGTCTCCAAAGTCCAAGCCCTTTCTCCTCTCCCGGCTTCCTCTATGACCTCTAAGACTCCAGGCAGAACTAAGCCTGGAGCAGGGAGGAATCCCAAGGAGACAGCAGCCCTAGCCAGGGCCCAAGTCTAGTCCAGAAAGTTCTGCTGTCTATGGTTCTGGGGAGACCACCATGTTAGTCACAGTCAGGGAGCCCGCAGACACTCCTGCCACCTCTGTGGAGGCTACCCTGGGTGGCCCTGGCATGTCTGTCCTCAGCACAACCTGCTAGCCGGTGAGGGCTCCGCCTGGCTCCGGACACTCACCTTCAGAAGGCCGATCTCCTTGACACAGTCCTGCCTGGCCTTGGCGTCCATCATTTCAAAGATCTTGGGAGGAAAAAGAGAGAAACAGAGCGGTTAAAACCAGCAGCCCACGGACCGGGACTGAGTCCTGACTCGCCCATCTCCTTGCTGAGGGGTCCCGTCATAGCAAGCGCCCCACTTACTGAGCACCCACCACAAGCGAGCACTGCAGTAAGGGCTTTACGTGAATCCCACGCCCACTCCCAGAAGGTAGGAATTATCTTACCCATTTCACAGAGGAGGGGATTGAGGCCTGAGGATCTGTGACTTGCTGAGGTCACACTGGCGAGTGGCCTGTGCTCAGAGCCTCAGTTTCCTCTTCTGTGAAAGAAGCCAAGAGCTCTACCCCACAGCACCATCCTGGGGCATCAGCTGTGGGTATGACGCCCCGTGTCCTGGCACCCCAGCCCCTTCAGTGCTCACTCATGGGTCCTCTGCCACCTGACTTGCAGGTGCAGACCAAAGGCAGAGACTATAGCCACTACAGCAGAGTCCGTCATGGTGTCTGTGTTGAACCTGTGACCCTTAGGGCTGTTGTCAAGGTTCTATACACTCTGAGTACAGTCCTTCATACAGTGGTTACTTGATGCATGCCTATTTTTCTTTTCCTTTGTTTTATTCTGGGTTTTCCTGGTTCTCCCCAGAGCCCAGGGGCTGGGTACTGAAGTCTCCGTTCCTAGGGGTCAGGGGGGGAGGCTCTGGCCAGGGCCTCAGAGTTCGGGGGAAACCAGCTCCTACAACAGCTTGGACCTCCAGCTCACCTGCACTTTCTTCAGAGCCACCGTCTTCCTGTCCAGCAGGCAGGTGGCCTTGTACACCTCGCTGAACTGTCCTCGGCCTATCTTTTTCTCGATCTGGAAGTCCGCCAGTGAGCAGCGAAAAGACAGAGAGGTAGGGTGCCTCTGCAGGGGGGACAGGGGACACCGGAGATCAGGTAGGCTGGCTTGGAGAGTCCAGGCCTAGGTGGCTGGGCCTTTAGGATCCCAGCACAGCCATCAGCATCCTCTAAGGCAAAGGAGGGACTGTGCTCACCAACCCCATCCAAGCCTCCGCGTACCTCCCTGGGGCCTTTCACATCTGGCCCTATCTGCTCCCCATGACGACCCAGTGTGGGTGAGAACCCAGGCTGTTCACTTCTCCAGTGCACCCTCTGCATGCTCCATCCTGACCAGATGACTGTCTCAGAAGGCTGGCTTTATGGGGCTGGGCCCGCAGTCTCCCTTATCCATTCTTGAATCCTTGCTGCCCAGTCAGGGCCCAGCAAGCAGCGTGTGTGACAAATGTTTGAGAGGTACGGGACTCAGATCTGGTCTCAGCAGCCCCACATCCCACCATGACTAATGCCCTGACTCCCATCACAAGTGACATGTCCCCTCTTGGGGTAACAATACCTCATTTCAGAGAAGGGACATCCTGATCTCCCTCTTTTGGGGACATAAAGAAACCAGCACTTCACAGTGACTCTGTAGGGCCAGCACTGAAACCTGTGTTGGAGCCACAGAGCCCAGGGACACAGCTGCCCAGGGGAGGCCACAGCGGCCAGCTGGCCCCTCTGAAGTACATGTACAAATGTGCTCTCAGGAAGGGGGCACCAATGGTGGGTTCTCAAAGAAGGAAGAGGAGGAACAGCAGAGATGATGTCACACCTCTTGATCTGCCCTGGGAGTCCTGGTGAGATGGGCCCTAGTACATCTCCATTTAACCCATAAGAAAACTGAGGCCCCAGGGACAGCCCTGCCATGTCACACAGCTCTGTAAGCCTTCCCTGAGGGTTTGGGCAAAGCCCTGCCCAGCTCCTTGTTACAGTTCCACTGTGAGGCCAGTCACTGGCACTGGGGACCACCTCCTCAGCTGGACTGCAGCACGAGGACAGGGACTGGGTCTCAGTCATCACTGGCTGCCTGGCACACAGAAGTATGCAGAAAATGGGCACTGAGTTCAGTTGGGGGGCAGGGTAGGGCTGGAAACACCAAGGGCCCCATGGAGGACAAGGTAGAATTTCTAAAATGGTACTGTCTCTTCCAGATGTGGGCCCCAACCTCTAAGAGGGCAGAAGATCCAGGTATTGGACTACATTCTGGAACTTTCCCTCACTTGGAACAAACACTGAGAACCATCACCCTGAAAGAGGTCTTTGCTTGGCACGTGTGGTGCCAAGCGTGGCTTCAGAGCCATGCAAGCTGGGTCCAGCCCTGGTTCAGCTACTCACCAACTGGTGACACAGGACATACAAGCCACTCTGGGCCTCATTTCCTCATTTGTAAATGGAGAAAATAAAGTGTCCACATCTCACAGGGCCACTGTGGGGATCACATGAGACTCTGTGTACAGTTTCTCATCAAGCCTGGCCCCTAGTCGATCTCAGTGGCCTTTGTCCACTCACGGCCTCGGTCACCATGGTGACTGAAGGGTGTGGGCAGGGCAGGCGTGAGGAGCTGAGGCCCTGAGCAGCTACTCCCCAGCCCCCACTCCTAGGCTTTCCACTACGCCAAGCATCCCACCTCATGCCTAGGAAACTCTAGACGCCCTCCAGCCAGGAGTGAGTGATGGAAGTCCAAGCCTGGCGTCCCATACTTAGACTGGGTCCCTCAGCAAGTTAAAAGTTTGGCCAATCTTGACTTTGAGGTCTTGAGGCATGATAATCTCCCACAGCAGTGGGTGGTTTAGAGAGGTCCCTGCCTGGAGACTCGAGTGGGAGGAAGAAGATGATTTCATCCACGACGTGCTGATGGCTGTCAGGTCAGGTCTTTGGGAATAACATTTGACCTCCCTATACACTAAGCGACACCTAGGATGTGCATGGAGCATCACGGGATGCTTAGCCTGCCTGGCATACTGCAGCCACCACCTCCACGGCCATCCTGCTGGACCCTCAGAGCCACCTGTGAGTGGGCCACACTGCTGGCCCTGCTTCAGGAAACTGAGGATCAGAGTGGGGCGATGGGGGGCAGCAACCTGCTGCAGGTTCCCAGCAAGTGACAGCAGAGTTGGAATTTGACCCCAGGTCTGGGGACTATGGCACCCCAGCCCATCACAGTGGCCTCCAACTCTCATTCTCTTGGCTTTTCTTCCAAGTCCCCAAACCACCATAGCTGGACTGCCACCTCCTACCCCAGACCCTCCCTTCAGTCACCTAAGTTCTTCCCTTTCCCTGCATGGGCTTCTCCAGTGGGGACTCCCTCTTGGTCTTCCATGTCCCTCCATGTCCCCTGAACACTCTGAGTACTCTTGGCATATTTGTTGAATGACACAGAGGAATGTGCCCAAATGCACAATGGGACTCTGTGACCCAGACACTGTCACCTCCAGAAGGACAGCCAACATCACAAGCCCTCAGAAAAACCAAGGCAATTCCTTAGTGCTTGGAAGAACAACACAGACTCAGAAATGATGGTGCTCTGTGTGCTTTGTACCTACTATGTGCCAGTTTGTGTCTCAGTGCTTAGTGCCGTAAGCCTCCTGACAGCCCAGGAAAACATGGGTTGCTAATCCCACTTTATAAGTAAGGAAACTGAGGCTCGGTCATATAAAATTGGTCAGCGGAGCTGGGATCTGAACTCCCTGGCTGATGGGTCCCTCCTCTCCTGGTCTCAGTTTTCCCCAGTAGAGTGAAAGGTTTGAAGGAAGTGATCTCTGAGGGTCCTTGCTCTGGGAACATGGGGCCTCTCACTGGTGGGAGTGGGAAGGTGGCCGGAGTGTCCAGTGACATTCTGCCCAGTCAGGGAGGCCTCACCACCCAATTCTCAGCAGCCCCAAAGCTCCAAATGGCTGTGGGGTGGATATGGGTGATATCCCAGCCATGGCTCAGACTCCAGCTGTGTATCTGCATATGGATGACCCAGATTTGCATTTCCTGTCACAACCCATTCACCCTAATTAGAAAAACGAGCTCTGTGGCACAGTGTGGGCAGCACTGGATGCTGGGGGCATAGTCAAGCCACCCCTGGGGTCCACCACTACTTGCAAAGGGTTGGGGGGGGTCTTGTCCCTGAGATGGCCTCTGTTCACCTGTTCTTAGCCTTGATTTAACTCCCAGGAAAGAAAGGATAAGTGGTTCCTTGCCAGAAAAGACAGGCCTCCCTCTGGCACCTCCAGGGCCTTCCTCCCATCCTGCCTCCAGCAAGTTCCACTCCTGCCCTTGCAGCTGAGTGACCCTGGGACGGTCATCCATTCATGGGGACAGTAACAATGGCCTGAAGTTTCTCTGAGGACCCCAGGAGATGATATAGGCAATGGGAGTCCATGAGGCTCTGAACTGTCAGGAAAGTGGCACGGCCGGGGGGGTGGGGAAGGGGTCAGTCTCTGAACAGCTCGTGCCATGGGGTCCCAGGAATAAAAACTGCTAACTAGTGACCACCTGATGGCTCTTCAGGTCACTTGTTGCTATCCCCTGCTCTGCCCAAGACCCCATCCTGGCTTTTAGGACCCTCTCCATCAGGCATAGGTTGGTAGAGGGGCAAACAGGACCATGCTCTGTCAGGTAAGACCTTTGTGCTTGGCTTGGAGGTGTGAGTTTAAGCCTGCCTCTGCCACTTCCAGGCTGGGGGCCTTGGTCTCCTTCCTCATTTGTATGATGGAGGCAGCCATGCTCCCCATTCTTATGGTTGCTGGGAGTGGGGTGTCAAACAAGTTAAGGAATGGAAGTCCTCAGAGAGGGCCCGGTCACAGGAAATGGGACATGTCACTATCACTACCGCTGTTGTCCTTGCTGGAGTTGCTGGGAAGCAGCTCCCAGGGGCTTGAGGCAGATGAGGCAAGGCTGTGTCTGGCCCAGCAGAAGAGCTCAAGGATTCTCGGCTATGGTTATAATCACCGTCACCAACTCCCCCACAGAGGGCCTGCTGACGGGGTTCGCAGTTACCTCAAGGACTGGCAGCCTTGTGGCTTCAAGCTCCTCTGCCCAGGACTTTTTGCCAGGGACCCCCTCCCAGACAACGGCTGCCCTGGCTCCCTTCTAGGGCTGAGCTGTGGCCACTTCCAGGACTGGCATCATTTCTACTTCCTTGGGCCCCTGCCCCAGGGTATGGAGTCCTCAGTTTACCCTCAAAGGTAGAGAAGATGGGGCTAGGTCTGGAAGGAGGCAGGTCTTTGGCCCAGTAGCATCTACCTCACACTCTGCTATCGGTCACTGGGGCCCAAGGGAGTGGGCCTGAGTTGCTGGGAAGGGTGGCTTGGATCTAAACAAAGAAGAGACGGATGGAGCAGCCTCTGTGAGCAATGACCTTGGACAGCAGGAGGGATCCAGAGGACAGGAGCCAAGATCCCTGGGTCTCCTATCTCCAACTGCACCCTCCCTAGAAATGCCATCAGCTTTCTCAGGCCCAGACAAGGCATAAAGGGGAGACTGGGAGAAGGAGGGAACTTGGACCACCACAGGACACCTCCACCCAGAAAGCTCCAAGGAACCTGGCTCTCTTGTCTGAGTCAGATCAAATTAGGCCACAAACAGCTCCCACCCTTCGCTAATTTGAGTTTAAAATGTTTGAACCACAATACGCCTCAGCCATCGACAAATCTTTTTCTTGCCCCTTAAATGGGAGCATAAAATTACATGTTAAAAGAATAAAAATGCATTCGCCCAATTAATTTTCTGAAATCTCATTAAAAAATTTAGCCTGACTAAGCCAGATTTCTGACCTGAATTTTAATCATCTTTACACTGGATGGGTCTTTTTTTCCCTGATATTTGCAATGCATCATTAATTTTAAGGCGACCGTTCCTACGATTTTAAAAAGCACACTTCATCAGAATGACATTTCCTGTAAACGAATTTCACCTTTAAAGACATCTGACACGGTGTATAGGGAACTTCTAATGGATTCAGTATATGTGTACTTAGCACTATGTTTTAAATCGTGTCGCATGAAAGGTCGCAATTTACAAAGGTCCACACTGGACTCCTTACGAGGCCAACCCCGCTCAGCAACTCATGACCTGACTAATTCCAAACCCAAAGCCAAGCTTCCCTCTCAAGGCCTCGCAATGGGAACATACTCTGAGGGCCATGGGAACTGGGCAGGGCCCTGCTGCTGCCCTCAGTTGTAGAACCTTCTGGTCCCTTCCTTCAGTTTCCTTCCCGGCAAAATGGAGTGTTGAGTATGACCTTTAGCTGTGAGTGGGCAGCAAGACCCACTGAGGCACGAGGCAGGCATCACACTGTGAGACACCCGCCATCATCACTATCCCCACGAAACTGCAGTGGCTCCCCATGTGCACCCCACTTGAGTCTCAACCCTCGGTCCCCAGGGTTATTTACTTATATCTTTGGCAATCATGGGGTTTGAACTTAGGGTTTCGTGCTTGCTGGCAGGCCCTCTACCACGTGAGCCATGCCTTCAGCCCTATTTGCTCTGGTTATTTTGGAGACAGGGTCTTGGCTTTTGCCCTAGCTGGCCTGGTCTACGATCCTATTTTATACTTCCTGCTGTAGCTGGGATGACAGGTACCTGTCACCATGCTCAACCTTTTTCCTTTGAGATGTGGTCTTGCAAACTTCTTTGGGTTTTTTTGGCCTGGAACCAGGATCCTCCCAAACTCATCCTCCCAAGCAGCTGGGATTACAGGTGTGAGCCACTGGCCACTGTATTTGGCTCCCAAGTGTCTTTCTACAACCCAAATCCAAGTACTCTCTGTTAACAGAAAACCCCAATTTCAAACTGCAGTAAGGATATGCGACCTTTCATAGACACCATCCATTCTTCTGTCTTCTCAGAGCGCAGGTGTTGCAGCACCTCGTCTACCCCAACTGGCCCTGGGCTTTCAGGTCTGGAGCTTGCAATGAGTTCTTTGCTTTTTCTGGAATGTTCTCCCCTCCGTGTTCTGCCCCACACTGCTGGTCATTCATGGGGCAGAACAAACTGGGCCATTTTCTGAAGCTCTCTGGTGCCCATCCTCTATCTGTTTACACAGAAGGCTCCACAGTAGGTGGAGAGCACCCTGAGGGGCTTAGCAAACACTCTTAAGTTTTAATAGCCATTAATAACTGGTCATTTTTTTTTTGGGAAGTCTGCACAGGGTTTTGATCGGGGTGACGCACACCTATGGACAGTGGCTCCAGGCCCCTGCAAGTATGCGCACAGTTCTCTCCGAATAGATCTGAACTTGGCACGTCCCAGGATGGAAGACGCATTAGCTGGGGTTTCCCATGACTTTCCCTTCCGGAAACCCACATAGCTCTCCGTGGGTTGGCTGAGCCTTGAATTTCACTCCTGATGAAAACGCTCAGCACAGACTGGTAAAATCCTAAAGCGTGGGGCACTTTACACGACCTCAACTCCACGCATTCCTTCGTTAGAAACTCAATAAAAGCAGGTGTGTCCAGCTCTTCCTCATGTGTTTCCACGTGCCCAAGGCTCTGAGTTAGAAAACTCCTGGAAATGAGCACACCACTAGGCGTGGGCCTAGAAGGTTAACACAGGCCACAGTTGGTCTGTTTTTATAGTTTTCCTGCTTTCTACCTTCCGGGTAGGGGCCTTAGCTGTGAAAACTGCAACGATTTTTAAGATACAAAAATAACATCCATGACATTGCGTTTCCTCAACACCCAGGGTGTTAGGTGCCACACTGGATCTTTAAGGTACATTGCCTCATTTATTCTTCACGTTGTCTCATGATGGAGGTACGGCTGTTAGCTCCATTTTACAGATGAGGAAACTGAGACTCAAAGGTCATTTACCCCCTTCACCTGGCTGGTGAGAGGTGGAGTTGGGAGGGAACCCAGCCCAGCCCACTTCATAGCACATGGAGCCTGGCTCCTCACTCTAAGGATGGCTTTAGGCAAACAGCAGCACTCCCACATAAAGGAAAATGCCTGCATTGTCAATTCCAGGTGCTTCCATGTGCTGACACAGGTGAGACTGAGCCTTGATGTCTCCCCAGATGGGGTTTTAAACACCAGTGGAGCCGGCGCAGAGCGCACAGCCGTGCGCTCTGATTCTGCAAACCCGGCCAGGTGCTGGTGGGACCAGGGACATCCTCACCCGAGAGTGGCTGCCCAGAGCAGCTCAGTGCTGAGTAATCGTATCTAATTACACTTAACTATGTCATTACCCACTCCAACATGTGCGAGGAGATACCGAGGACACTCCTGCCACCGCAGCCCACCGCCTCCTCGCCTTGTGCAAGAAATAATTACAGGCCTCTCTCCTCTGCCAAATGAGGCTGTAATTAACCCTAATTGCTCGAAATGCAACTGGCTAATTCCAGGAGATTAATCAAGGGGGATTCAATTGTTAGCGAATGACTTAATATGACAAATGGCTACATTACCCAGGCAGGCCCCACTGCCCCTTCATGTCCTGGTGGAATCTGCACTGACAGTGTCCTGGGACTTCTCAGCTCCGGGATCTGCCTCCCCAAATTCTATTTGGAAACAGGCCCCTGCATCCCAGCCAGTAACAGGCATAGAGAGTGCAAACAGCATAGCTGTCCACGGACCCTTGTACAGTTGTGTATACATGTGCACACGCACGCACACACACAGAGTGCCTGCCCTTCGTGTCACCTCTGTGTGAATTTGTGAGGGTGCTTTCTCTTGGGCTGATGCAGCTGTATACCATGGAGCATGACGTGCTGAAGGCCTTCAGATCCACTTGCCACCTTGACCTTTGTGCAGCGTATAACCTGTACAACTGGACTTGGTAATCCTCAAGTCCTCCAACAGGAAGTCAGAAGCTGTGACAAGCCTTCGTGGCTCAGGACTATGGCTGTCTCTGAGTCTCTCCCTGACGGAAGTCTCACAGTGTTGGGACAAAAAGCCAACATCGGACAAGAACTTTTTATCTTTTCAGGGTGCCTACAGAACCCTAAAGGATGTGGCTGGCAGGCAACCTGGCCAGTCTAGCTGTGCCCTCCAGGCCTTTATCTACCTCTTCTTGAAGAGGCCTCTTTTTGGCCCTTAGACTGGACCAGGGACCTGGCTGGGGTTCTAGGGGACCCTGACTTTCTTCTGCTGGGTTTTGTTTTTTTTTTCTCTTTCACAGGTTCTTACCTTTCTATCCCATCTGGCTCACACACAGCCCCCTCCTCGGTGGCTTGCTGCCCACATATCTAGGGTGTATTAACTCAACTAGCATCAAGGTTCATCTGTGCCAGTCTGGGATGGAGCCACTGGCAAAGCCCCCTGGCATTCTCTGTTTAGAAAGAGAAGCAGACCTGGAGCCAGGCCTGCTCAGGAGTGATCATGGCCACCACCCACATGCACACACAGAGGGGAGGGAGGTGGGTAGGAAGTCTCCTCAGAAACAGCTTCAACTGGACTGAGAATTGGCAAAGGAATGGGGCAGGCATTCCAGGCCAGGGAACAACATGTGCAAAGGCATGGGGTACACAAGAGGCAGTTCCAGGACCCAAAGCTAGCTTTGGAAAAGCCCCAAAGGCAGCCCGGCTCTCCCAGGGATCTCGAGAGAGAGAATAGGGTTCCCGAAAGTCTGCTATTCTAGAGCAAGTGGCTGACTAGGGCCAGAGTTAAGACAAAATGGAAGGCAGACACTGGCTCATGGCAAGGAAGAATTTTCGATCCATTCCTGAGTCCCTCACTCTCCTTGGTGCACTGAGGAGAGTGCACGTCTAACACAATGCTGCATAGAAGCCCCCGGGGCAGGGAGAGCCTGGCTTCCCAACTCTGAGTTCACACAGAGGTGGCTTCTCTGAATGTGGCTGAGTTAAATGAAGGGGTCACTACATAAGGTAGTGAGGGCCTAGCCCTGGAAGCATTGGGGTGTTGCAGGTGTTCCCCCAGAGACCTGGAGCTCGCCTGAGGAGCTACAGTGTTTCTGGGATTTCAACACACCCTGGACAAAGACAGGGCTTACCTGGGCGTCCGAAGGGTGCGCAGGCCCTGGCGTGTGGCACAGGGTGTTCGGGCTTCCTCCGTGGGGCAGGTGGCTGGGCTGTCCTGCCATCCTGCATGCCAGCCTCCCAAGGGCACAGGCTGAAACAGAGAACAGAGCCTGTTCACTTCCTCAAGACACTAGCTCGCCCACTGTATGGATGTGTGAGTGGAGACGTGGTTGCCCAGCTCAGCAGTGGCTGGGTGAGGACTTGACCCCCAGGTGACTTGTCTTCCTTCCATTACACAGTCCTGACTAAGCTGTGAAGATCATTTCACTAGAAAGGGAACATGGAGGTTCAAGTAGGAAGTCAGCCAGCAAGGAAGGGACCAGATTCAACCCTGCATTTGCCGGATTCCAAAGCCTCGCTCTTCCCATAGTCTCCCCAAAGAGGGACATTCTGTCTGGCTGTCCCCATCATTACCCCCAAATAAACCTAGGTCACTGAGCCACACTCTGGCAGCTGCTGCAGGGAGAAAGAACCCCACGTCCCCATTCCCGCTGGGCCCCAGAGTACAACACACCGTGACACTGGAGAGCCAGGCCATGCTCAGGGTCCCGCACCAACCTCCACGCAGGTGCAGGGCCTCTGCAGAAAGGAGCAGCCTCAGCTCCAGGGCTTGGGCTACCCTGGGAACCAGGGATGCTGGTTACCAGTAGCCATGGTAACCACAGCATTTGCCCCTGATCAAGTGCCACTTTATACAGGGTCCTGGTCACGTGGTGTCTCCCCGGTCTCACTTCTCCTGGTATCAGAGGTGGCCTCTGACCTCCCTGCCAGACAAGCCTCCCTATGGCAGGGATAGAAGCTTAACACACAGAAGGAAGACTGAGGGGACAGTCAGTGCCCAGATCGATCGTCTACCTCACAAGCATTTCTGCAGTGCCTTCTACAGACCAGGGCCCAGTCTGGACTCCCCCAGCTCCCAGCTGCTACTGTGTCTATAGATGCCCCTGGATGTCCAACTGTTGCTTAACCACATCTCAGCCTGCCCTCTAGAGGACCAGCCAGGCCCCAGAGCACCTTCTGTGTACTCCTTAGAGAGCGGGAGTCCTATGGACTGGATGGTCCCCCAGGGTGACCCTTACCTAACACCTGAGGGGATGACTATGCAAGCTAGTCCTTTGCCTTAGGTCGGTATAACCTACATTCCAGGGACCCTGGGAGGCCCGGTGGATTTTTTCTAAGATGGCAGCCTTACTCATCTTCCTCTGTGGTTTTACAGGCTCCTTCTGGACCTTGGCTTTAATGAGCCTATGGAGCCTTGCCTCAGAGTCCGCTTCTGGAGAGCACAACCTAAAGAGGTCATCTGTGTTAGCTTGCTTTCCGTTTCTATAATGAAATTCCCGAGGCTGGGGAACTTTGTAAAGAAAAGAAGTTGATTTAGCTCACGGTGTTGGAGACTCGAGGGTATGGTAGCTACGTCAGCTCAGCTCTGGTGAGAGTCTCACAGTTTATAACAACATTGCAGTGGTCAAGACGCAGGTGAGAAGAAGAGTCACACGCCAGACAGGAAGCCAGGAAGCTATTTGGCGATCAGACTTTTATAACAACTCCGTCTCTTAGGAAGTAAAAGTTTCAGGGTCCAATGAGAGCTCCCTGGATCCCTTCCAGGCAGTGCCCCCAGTGACCTATAGGCTCCACCTCTTAAAAGTCCCACCACCTCTCACATCACCCCAGTGGGGACTTGGGGGAGACACTCAACCCACATCCAGAGTACATCACCTCTCCCTCAACATCCTCTGCCACTCTCACCTGGTCATCTGCTCCCAGCTAGCTCCGCCAGCTAAATTCCAAACTGACAGCCTTTCCCTGGCCCAAGGGGCCCCCATTAACCCAGGGGGTTGTGGGTAGCAGCAAAGGAATCAACAACCCTGTGATGGTTACAGTCAGTGTCCTGGAGACCAGGCCACTGTGTCTCAGGCCACAAATCACCCTTCTCCCGGACCTCCCCACCAAGTCTATTCCCAGCTCTGTGTTGAGGGGTCACACCTCCCAGTCCCCAGAGGTGTCTATGATGCCTCTTGGCCTAGCAAATGATGCCCATCAATCTTTGAATCACCCATCAAGCTTAAACTTGGGGCTCCCAGCTTGGTGCCTCAAGGGCACCCAGCCCCAGCCTCCGACTACATGTGCCTAGGCACCATTCTTCCTGTGTCCTCAGTAGCTCCAGTGCCATTCCCCCCACCTCACCCCACACACATTCATTGCTGTTTTGGGGTGAAACTGCTTTTCACACACAAAGTAGACCACAGAAAGTGAGACCACAGGAGGAGAGACAAAGATTGCAGGCCACAGCAGCTTGGAGGCAACCGCCCTCTCGGGCTGAGCATCTGCAATGTGACTACCACTCCTGGTTAGTGGTCTCCTGCCTAGGACATTAACCAGCTTTGACCCGGCCTTGCAATGTGCTGTGTCCTCATGTCTGTAGACACACAGGTAGACTCGGGTGGTCTTGGATGTGCATCATGTAGGGAGCATCATGGGGGAAGCCACCCCTCCCCACAGCCCTACCTCTGCCTCTGGCACCTCCCACCTCCCCGGCTGGGTGTCCCAGGGCCTGGCGCTCTCCTTGCCAAGACCTGGGATGTAGATGGGACCAGGTGCTCTCGGCGTCTTCTGCCATCTGGCTGAGCTTGGTGCTGGAGCGCATCCCCCCAAGGCGACGCAGCAGAGGAGCAGGGATACGAAAAGCCCCGGGATAAACAGATAAACACGGAGCATCTTCCTCAGGCACTGCTGTTACTCAGGGGGAAAGCGTGCGACAGCAAACCGGGTATGAGAGGGAACAGAATGTAAAATGCGCATGAATTTGAAGATGAAACCAGAGGCTCCCGGAGGCTCAGCAACTGCTGCAGGCTGTACCCCCAGACCCCTCGGGGTAACATGTTTGCATCCTCTGCCCTTAGGGAGCCCTCCCGGGAAAGGCTGGAGAACTGTCTTCAGGAGAAGGTTCCGTCTTTATCTAGATGGCTCCAGAGTCCACCCATAGGCCGCCCTGTCCGTCCCCCACACACCTCATTCACCTGGCCACCTGCCCTGCCTTCTCATGGACCCGGAACTGGAGCAGTGTCCACCTGTGAGTCCCCATTTCTTGTCCTGCCTCACCCAGTTCCAGTCCCAAGGGCTTTGGGGCCAGTGGGCCTGAGTTTGAATCTCGACCCTGTCACTTGCCAGCTGTGACTTTGCAAAAATCACACCAGGCAGGAGGCTCACAGGTGTTTGTGAATATCACCCAGCCCTCTAGCAGCTGCCTAACACAGCGGCCTCCACCCTCTCGGGAGCTCACCCCACAGCCTCACGAGGCTCCAGGACCACTGCAAGGGGGGTTCAGGCCTCCTCAGAAATAGCAGTAATAATAACAGTGACGACAGATAGCAGCTAACAATTGCTGTGTCTTTATTATGTGGGGCCCTGCTCCGTGCACTTCGCTCCCTCTGGCCTTAACAAAAGCCTATGAGAGCTGGTCCGTTATTGTTCCATGTTACACATGAGGTTTTCCCAGGTCACATGGGTTACAGACAGCCAGGGCCAGGACCAGAACCTACCATGGCATCTGTGACATGAAGCCACCACACTGCATTCCTTGCCACCATCTCATCTTCCTTCCCAGCTGCCTCCCCATGGAACCAGCCTCCTTTCCACCCAAGAATGGGCCCATGACGATGTGTAGGGGTGATCCCTGGCCAGGTGGCCCCTGAGAGGCCATGTCCCCTGCAGGGGGCCCATGGGCAGGAGCTCCTAGAGATCTTGTGCACCCAGCTATTGCTGTGCCACCTCTTCTGCCAATCCACTGGGCTTTGGTAAGAGACTGGCACTAGTCCTGCCCAGGACCCAATGGAACCTGCTACATAGGGCTCCACATTAGGCAGAGGGGCCCTGGTTTAGGAAGGAAGCCCTGCCCACCAAGCATCAGAGAGTGCCATTCCAAAGGGGGAGGAGGCAGGCAGTGAGGAAGGAAATGAAGGTTCTCTGAGCACTTTCAATGGGATGGGTCTTTCTCATTCATCCTCAGGGCTACTGATAGACCCATTTTACGGATTGGGAAACTGAGGCTCAGAAAAAAGGGGAGGTTCAATACCATTTAACTGTTGTCTTGGGGCTATTCAGTCAGATGCGTTGGATTTTAGGGAATTTGCATCGCGTTTGTGGAAACTCCACACTCTTACTCCAGAAATTGCTACCAGAAACTGTCTTATGGGGTTCAGATGCAGGAAGGCCACAGCAAAGGATACTTGCATGGACAGACATGGGGAGCAGGGAAAGGCCATGCAGGCCCCTCTGGGTAACACAGGGAGCCGCCTGTCCCTGGGATCCTGTGGCTCCTGCCAAGTTTCAGAACAATGAGATAGTGGCTGCCAAGCCCAAGTCAGGGGCCAAATATTTGTGGAATGCGGCCTGGAGCCACAGGCCGCACGGAACCCCACCTCAAAGAGGCCTTCCTTCTGCAGGGAACAAGCGCCCGCAATTCCAAGGCACCATGAACGCACAGTGCAGCTTCCCAGCTGCGCTCCTGGCTGTGGTCAAAGCAGCCATGAGCTAGCTGCATGTTATGTGTCTACCGGGCAGCCTGGGGCCAGTGCCCCAGTCCAGTGGCCAGACTGCCTGGGTTCAATGCTGGCTCCATTTCCTCTCACCACACGGTGCCTCAGTTTCCTCATCTGGAAAGTGGGGCTGATGTGGTAAGAGTGACCTCTAAGGACCACAGAGATTGATGTAAACTCCCAAGAACAGCCTGGCACACGGAAGGCCCCAGAAGCACTGGCTGCTTTCAGGGTTGCTTGTGCCAACTCTTACTGAGCAACTGAGGAGGGATCACCTTAATGTGACAATCTCAGGAAGTGAGGTTCAGAGAGGGGCAGATTTGCCCTGGGTCACACAGCTAGTAGGTGCAGAGAGGGGCTGCGTGGCTCCACGTGACAGCTCTGCACACTGCACTGCACACCTCCTCACTCACATGCACCGTGGCCACCTTCACAGAGCCCTTGGGTTGTTCCTTCCCTGTCCCTGGGAAGTCATGGGGGCTTGGGTTTAATTCCCTGGAAGGGCCTGGCTGCCCACTGGGTTGGGCTCTGAGCCTCCAAGTGGCCTTTCTTCCCA